CTCCCATGGTTAAAGCTACATAACCCACATATAGATTGGTCTAAATTTTCTATTGTAAATTGGAGTTTATTTTGCCACACGCACTGTCTCCATTCATCCATCCCCTCCATCAAGACGTGCACTGAAGGTCCCAGGCCCGTTGACCTTTCGTCTGTTCCCAGTGAATACCATGACCTCCAGGAGGTTTTTTCCAAGGACAGGGCTTCGTCCTTGTCGCCACACAGGCCCTATGACTGCAGCATAGACCTTGTTCCAGGTGCCCCTTTACCCACCAGGAAGCTGTATAACCTGCCTAAGCCTGAGAGAGAGGCCATGGAGACATACATTACTGAATCGTTAGCGGCAGGACTGATTCGACCCTCTTCCTTACCTGTTGGAGCGGGTTTCTTTTTTGTAGACAAGGACAAGTCACTCCGCCCGTGTATTGACTTTAGAGGTCTTAATGACATTACGGTGAAAAACAAGTACCCTCTCCCACTCTTGGACTCAGCCTTTTGCTCCCTGCATGAGGCTTCGATTTTCACTAAGCTGGACCTTCGCAATGCATATAATTTAGTCAGGAGAAGAGGGTGATGAATGGAAGACAGCATTTAATACCCCCTTGGGACATTTTGAGTATTTAGTTATGCCTTTTGGATTAACAAATGCCCCAGCGGTTTTCCAAGCTCTGGTTAATGATGTTTTACGAGATATGTTAAACCGATTTGTTTTTGTTTATATTGACGACATTTTGATTTTTTCCCGCACTCCAGAGGAACATGTTCAGCATGTCAGACTAGTTCTTCAGTGTCTTCTCGAAAACCGACTTTATGTTAAAGCCGAGAAGTGCGATTTTCATGCAGAAACGGTTCATTTTCTTGGTTTCGTTATTGAGAAGGGACAGATCAGGTCTGATCCTGCCAAGGTTAAGGCAGTAACTGACTGGCCCACTCCTACTAGCCGTAAACTCCTCCAAAGGTTTTTGGATTTCGCTAATTTTTATAGGAGGTTTATTCGGGATTATGGTAAAGTCGCTGCACCTCTGACTAGGCTTACCTCTGCTAAGGTCCCCTTTGTTTGGTCAGCTGAGGCGGAGGCATCTTTTGTTCGTTTGAAAAGTCTTTTTTGTTCTGCACCTGTTCTCTCCCACCCTGATTCCACAGCTCAGTTCGTCGTCGAGGTTGATGCGTCTGATTCTGGCGTCGGCGCACTTCTCTTTCAGTGTTCCACTTCAGACCACAAGCTCCACCCCTGTGCCTTCTTTTCCCGTCAGCTTAGCCCTGCGGAAAGGAACTATGATGTGGGCAACCGGGAACTGCTCGCGGTGGTCCTCGCGCTGAGGGAATGGAGACACTGGCTGGAGGGCTCAGCTCAGCCTTTTGTTGTATGGACTGACCATAAGAACCTGTCCTACCTTCGTTCTGCCCGCAGGTTGAACTCCCGCCAGGCACGATGGGCACTTTTTCTGGGAAGGTTTAACTTCACCCTTACCTACCGTCCAGGTTCCAGGAACACGAAGCCTGATGTTCTCTCGCGCCGGTTTTCCACTCCTTTTGAGGGTAAGGGTGAGGAAACCATCTTACCCAATTGTGTGGTCGGTGCTGCCAGTTGGGAGGTGGAGAAAGTTGTTCAGGAGGCCCAGGTCGGGGATCCCACGCCTGAGGCTTGTCCTCCTGGGCTGCTGTTTGTTCCCCCCTCCGCTCGGTCCAGTGTGCTTCAGTGGGGCCATGACTCGAGGTTGGCCTGCCACCCTGGATTTCACCGCACTCTGGCCCTTGTTCGTCAGCGCTTCTGGTGGCCGTCCATTTCCTCTGATACCAAGGAATATGTTTCTGCCTGCTCTGTTTGTGCCCGCAGCAAGGCGTCTCACAAATCTCCAGCTGGCTTGCTCCGCCCACTACCCATTCCTCATCGTCCTTGGTCCCATATAGCGGTGGATTTTGTTACCGGCCTGCCGCCTTCTGGGGGTAACACCACCATTCTGTCTGTGGTTGACAGATTTTCTAAATGTGTACATTTCATCCCGTTGCCTAAACTTCCTTCTGCTCTTGAGACAGCCAACTTGCTTGTCCAGCATGTCTTCCGGTTGCATGGAATACCCCAGGACATTGTTTCCGATCGAGGCCCCCAGTTTGCTTCTCGGGTTTGGAAGGCTTTTTGTAGGGCCTTGGGAGCATCTGCAAGCCTGTCCTCTGGATACCACCCGCAGACTAATGGCCAGACGGAGCGTGCAAATCAGGACCTTGAGGCGGCTATGCGTTGTGTCACGGCACGTTTCCCAGCTTCCTGGTCGACTCACCTTCCGTGGATCGAATACTCCCACAACTCCTTGGTCTCGTCTGCTACGGGTATGTCTCCATTCATGGCCGCTAGTGGTTTTCAGCCCCCCGTTTTTACATCCCAGGAAACAATGGTGACTGTTCCGTCGGTGCAGCACCATCTGCGCAGAGCCAGGCGGGTGTGCGTCGAGGTCAGGGCAGCTCTGTCTCGGACTGCAGCTCGGAACCGGAGTATTGCTGACCGCCGGCGTTCTGCAGCCCCGGACTACAAGCCTGGTGAGAAGGTGTGGCTTTTGACCAGGGATCTGCCCCTCCAGGTTGAGTCCCGTAAGCTGGCCCCAAGATATGTTGGTCCTTACGAGATCGACAGAGTTATTAATCCTGCGGTGGTGAGGCTGAAGTTGCCCCCGTCTTTAAATGTTCACCCTGCTTTTCACGTTTCGTTGCTCAAGCCGGTGGCCTAGAGTCCCTTCAGCCCTCCGGCCGAGCCCCCTCCTCCCCCCCGGATCGTTGATGGTGGTCCTGCCTTCTCTGTCCGGCGCGTGTTAGATGTGCGCCGTCGTGGGCGGGGTTTCCAATATTTGGTGGATTGGGAGGGGTATGGCCCGGAGGACCGTTCCTGGGTGTCGCGCTCCATGATCCTGGACCCTGCTCTGCTGGCTGATTTCTACGCCTTGCATCCTGGCCGGCTTGGGAGGGCGCCAGGTGGCGTCCGTTGAGGGGGGGGGGGGTACTGTTGGGTTTGGGTTTGCTCTGCCTCCCCCCTCCCTTTCTGTTTGTTTCAGGGCATGTGTGTGACTGGGGGCGTGGCTGGGGGCGTGGCTGGCTCTGCAGCAGGTGTGTGGGCTAACACCTGTTCCTCATCAGCTCTGCATAAAGCTCTGGTGCAGACATCACTTCTCTGCCAGAAAATTCAATGTCTCAAGTTAGTGTGCAGCAGCAGTGTGAGTTTTTGCTCTTGTGTTATTTTTTGCTTATGGGTTTTTTGTGTCCTGTGTTCAGGTCTCCCTTTTTCTGGACCAGCTCCATGTCACCACTGCCTGTCTTGTGTTTTTGTTATTTACTTTTTGTAAGTAAAGACTTTCCTTGAATCGTGCTCAGTCTGTCTCTGCTTTGGGATCCAACACGCAATCCTTAACACAGACCACCTTAACCCTAACCTTAACCATCTTACTCAGACCACCTTAACCCTAACCTTAACCATCTTACTCAGACCACCTTAACCCTAACCTTAACCATCTTACTCAGACCCACCTTAACCCTAACCTTAACCATCTTACTCAGACCCACCTTAACCCTAACCTTAACCATCTTACTCAGACCACCTTAACCCTAACCTTAACCATCTTACTCAGACCACCTTAACCCTAACCTTAACCATCTTACTCAGACCACCTTAACCCTAACCTTAACCATCTTACTCAGACCACCTTAACCCTAACCTTAACCATCTTACTCAGACCACCTTAACCCTAACCTTAACCATCTTACTCAGACCACCTTAACCCTAACCTTAACCATCTTACTCAGACCACCTTAACCCTAACCTTAACCATCTTACTCAGACCACCTTAACCCTAACCTTAACCATCTTACTCAGACCCACCTTAACCCTAACCTTAACCATCTTACTCAGACCACCTTAACCCTAACCTTAACCATCTTACTCAGACCACCTTAACCCTAACCTTAACCATCTTACTCAGACCACCTTAACCCTAACCTTAACCATCTTACTCAGACCACCTTAACCCTAACCTTAACCATCTTACTCAGACCACCTTAACCCTAACCTTAACCATCTTACTCAGACCACCTTAACCCTAACCTTAACCATCTTACTCAGACCACCTTAACCCTAACCTTAACCATCTTACTCAGACCACCTTAACACTAACCTTAACCATCTTACTCAGACCACCTTAACCCTAACCTTAACCATCTTACTCAGACCACCTTAACCCTAACCTTAACCATCTTACTCAGACCACCTTAACCCTAACCTTAACCATCTTACTCAGACCACCTTAACCCTAACCTTAACCATCTTACTCAGACCACCTTAACCCTAACCTTAACCATCTTACTCAGACCACCTTAACCCTAACCTTAACCATCTTACTCAGACCACCTTAACCCTAACCTTAACCATCTTACTCAGACCACCTTAACCCTAACCTTAACCATCTTACTCAGACCACCTTAACCCTAACCTTAACCATCTTACTCAGACCACCTTAACCCTAACCTTAACCATCTTACTCAGACCACCTTAACCCTAACCTTAACCATCTTACTCAGACCACCTTAACCCTAACCTTAACCATCTTACTCAGACCCACCTTAACCCTAACCTTAACCATCTTACTCAGACCCACCTTAACCCTAACCTTAACCATCTTACTCAGACCACCTTAACCCTAACCTTAACCATCTTACTCAGACCACCTTAACCCTAACCTTAACCATCTTACTCAGACCACCTTAACCCTAACCTTAACCATCTTACTCAGACCACCTTAACCCTAACCTTAACCATCTTACTCAGACCACCTTAACCCTAACCTTAACCATCTTACTCAGACCACCTTAACCCTAACCTTAACCATCTTACTCAGACCACCTTAACCCTAACCTTAACCAGACACCAGGTCTTACTCAACTTGATCAGCTTCACAGAGTCGTGGCTGGAGGTGCAGTGGTTGGTGTACAGGGAGAAGAGCAGGGGGGAAAGAACACACCCTAACCTTCGGGCACGTTGAGCTGGGAGAGCTTGTCCTGGAGCAGGGATGGCAGGATTGTGTTGAAGGCAGAGCTGAAGTCCACGAACAGGACCCTGGCGTAGGTCCCCGGGGAGTCCAGGTGCTGTAGGATGTGGTGGAGGGCCAGGTTAATGGCGTCGTCTACAGATCTGTTGGCTCTGTAGGCGAACCATCCAGGGGGTCCAGGAGGGGGGAGGTGAAGGGACTTGAGATGGGAGAGAACCAGGCGTTCAAATGACTTCATGACGACAGACGTAAGTGCTACAGGTCTGTAGTCATTGAGTCCTGTGATCCTGGGCTTCTTCGGGACGGGGACAATGATGGAGGATTTGAAGCAGGCCGGGACATGGCAGGACTGCAGAGAGGTGTTGAAAATGTCCGTGAACACAGGAGTAAGCTCACTGGCGCAGTGTCTCAGAGTGGCCGGAGACACGTGGTCCGGGCCAGGAGCTTTGCGGGGGTGCAGCCTCAGGAAGAGTTGTTTAATCTCTTTAGCGGCTATTGTTAGGCTGGGGGCAGGGCTGATGGGTGGGTCGTTAGAGTAGTGGGGGGTGGGGGAGGGGAGAGGTGTCAGGGGCAGCATCAAAGCGACTGAAAAATAAGTTCAGATCGTCAGCTAGCTTGTGGTCGTCAGCACAGGGGGGGGGCTTTGGGTTTGTAGTTGGTGATCTCCCGTAGGCCCCTCCAGACAGAAGCAGTATCGTTGTTACCAAACTGCTCCTGTAGTCGTTCTCTGTGCCGGGACTTGGCTGCTTTCAGTTCTTTCCTGAACTGATATTTAGCTGCTTTGTAGCCGCTGCGGTCCCCCTCCCTGAAAGCAGACTCCTTTTGCTTTCCTGAGCTGCCGGAGTTTAGCAGTGAACCAGGGTTTGTCGTTGTTATAGATGACCCTGGTCCTTGTTGGAATGATGCTATCCTCACAGAAGTGAATGTATGACGTCACAGTGTCCGTATATTCATCCAAACTGTCTGTGGCAGCTCTGAAAAGGTCCCAGTCTGTAGATTCCATGCATGCAGCTCTTCCACAGCTTCATCAGACCACACTTTGGAGCTCCTCACTGCAGGTTTCGAGAGCTTTAGTCTCTGTCTGTAAGCAGGAACCAGATGTATCATGGAGTGATCTGAGAAGCCGAGGGCTGCCTTGGGAACAGCGCGAAAAGCTCCGCGCACGGTGGTGTAGCAGTGATCCAGAGTGTTCTCCTCTCTGGTCGGGCATTTGATAAACTGTCTGTATTTGGGTAATTCCTGGCTCAAGTTTCCCTTATTAAAATCCCCCAGGATAATAATCAGAGAGTCCGGGTATAAGCGTTCCATACACAGTACTTGCTCTGCGTCCGCGCATGGCGGTATGTAAACAGAGGCAAGAATGAATGAAACAATTTCCCGCGGGGAGTAATATGGTTTACAATGAATGAAAAGATATTCCAGAGCAGGAGAGCAGTGCTTGGAGATCACTGTCACATCGTTACACCAGTTTGTATTGACGTAGAAACACAGCCCACCGCCTCTGCTCTTCCCTGAGAGCGCACAATGGCGATCCGCGCGAAACAGCCCAAAGCCCTGCAGCTCCAGAGCGCAGTCCGGGATCCGCTCATTTAGCCAGGTCTCAGTGAAGCAGAGGACACAGAGGACACCAGGTCTCAGTGAAGCAGAGGACACAGAGAACACCAGGTCTCAGTGAAGCAGAGGACACAGAGAACACCAGGTCTCAGTGAAGCAGAGGACACAGAGGACACCAGGTCTCAGTGAAGCAGAGGACACAGAGGACACCAGGTCTCAGTGAAGCAGAGGACACAGAGGACACCAGGTCTCAGTGAAGCAGAGGACACAGAGAACACCAGGTCTCAGTGAAGCAGAGGACACAGAGAACACCAGGTCTCAGTGAAGCAGAGGACACAGAGAACACCAGGTCTCAGTGAAGCAGAGGACACAGAGGACACCAGGTCTCAGTGAAGCAGAGGACACAGAGGACACCAGGTCTCAGTGAAGCAGAGGACACAGAGAACACCAGGTCTCAGTGAAGCAGAGGACACAGAGAACACCAGGTCTCAGTGAAGCAGAGGACACAGAGGACACCAGGTCTCAGTGAAGCAGAGGACACAGAGGACACCAGGTCTCAGTGAAGCAGAGGACACAGGATGAAGTCCTTGTTTCTTCTCATGAGCAGGCTGAGTTCGTCTTATTGCCCAGTGAGCGTACGTTGGAGAGAAAAATGCCGGGGAGAGGCTCCTCTCCTCCTCAGACGCACGAGCAGCCTCCGCGCTTTCCCCTTTTACGGGCCCACACTTTTTTGGCTAGAACATGAACTAAATCAGCCGCAGATGCCAAGAAAACAGGCAATAGGTCCATGGGGACGGTGGGTCAGATGTTCATAAGTTCCTCACGGGTGTAGGAACAGCCAGATGCACAGTTAAAAAGTAAAAACAAAAGAAAAAGAGAGCAGCAAAGAGCCATGTCGACCGTACGAGGCGCCATCTTCAGACTCAGTGTGTACCTGTGGTAAGAGTGTGCGTCTCTGAGGGTAGTGTGTGGTGCTGTGTGTGTACCTGTGGTAAGAGTGTGCGTCTCTGAGGGTAGTGTGTGTACCTGTGGTAAGAGTGTGCGTCTCTGAGGGTAGTGTGTGATGCTGTGTGTGTACATGTGGTAAGAGTGTGCGTCTCTGAGGGTAGTGTGTGGTGCTGTGTGTGTACCTGTGGTAAGAGTGTGCGTCTCTGAGGGTAGTGTGTGGTGCTGTGTGTGTACCTGTGGTAAGAGTGTGCGTCTCTGTGGGTAGTGTGTGTACCTGTGGTAAGAGTGTGCGTCTCTGAGGGTAGTGTGTGGTGCTGTGTGTGTACCTGTGGTAAGAGTGTGCGTCTCTGAGGGTAGTGTGTGGTGCTGTGTGTGTACCTGTGGTAAGAGTGTGCGTCTCTGTGGGTAGTGTGTGTACCTGTGGTAAGAGTGTGCGTCTCTGAGGGTAGTGTGTGGTGCTGTGTGTGTACCTGTGGTAAGAGTGTGCGTCTCTGTGGGTAGTGTGTGGTGCTGTGTGTGTACCTGTGGTAAGAGTGTGCGTCTCTGAGGGTAGTGTGTGGTGCTGTGTGTGTACCTGTGGTAAGAGTGTGCGTCTCTGAGGGTAGTGTGTGTACCTGTGGTAAGAGTGTGCGTCTCTGAGGGTAGTGTGTGGTGCTGTGTGTGTACCTGTGGTAAGAGTGTGCGTCTCTGAGGGTAGTGTGTGTACCTGTGGTAAGAGTGTGCGTCTCTGAGGGTAGTGTGTGGTGCTGTGTGTAGTCCGGTCCGGCTGCAGCAGACTCAGCAGGTCCTCGGTGCTGCTCTGTTTCCACAGCGACGAACCCAGAGACTTCTTTGCTTTATGGTTCTCCACCGCTGCTGGTCCCCAAACCAGCGACCTGCAGAGACCAGGACAAGACTAAGGACCAGGAGGAGACTGTAAGGACCAGGACGAGACTGTAGGGACCAGGACGAGACTGTAGGGACCAGGACGAGACTGTAGGGACCAGGAGGAGACTGTAGGGACCAGGAGGAGACTGTAGGGACCAGGAGGAGACTGTAGGGACCAGGACGAGACTGTAGGGACCAGGACGAGACTGTAGGGACCAGGAGGAGACTGTAGGGACCAGGAGGAGACTGTAGGGACCAGGACGAGACTGTAGGGACCAGGACGAGACTGTAGGGACCAGGAGAGGAGACTGTGGGGACCAGGACGAGACTATAGGGACCAGGACGAGACTATAGGGACCAGGACGAGACTGTAGGGACCAGGAGAGGAGACTGTGGGGACCAGGACGAGACTGTAGGGACCAGGAGGAGACTGTAGGGACCAGGAGGAGACTGTAGGGACCAGGACGAGACTGTAGGGACCAGGACGAGACTGTAGGGACCAGGAGGAGACTGTAGGGACCAGGAGGAGACTGTAGGGACCAGGACGAGACTGTAGGGACCAGGACGAGACTGTAGGGACCAGGAGAGGAGACTGTGGGGACCAGGACGAGACTATAGGGACCAGGACGAGACTATAGGGACCAGGACGAGACTGTAGGGACCAGGAGAGGAGACTGTGGGGACCAGGACGAGACTGTAGGGACCAGGAGAAGACTGTAAGGACCAGGAGGAGACTGTAGGGACCAGGACGAGACTGTAGGGACCAGGACGAGACTGTAGGGACCAGGAGGAGACTGTAGGGACCAGGAGGAGACTGTAGGGACCAGGACGAGACTGTAGGGACCAGGACGAGACTGTAGGGACCAGGAGAGGAGACTGTGGGGACCAGGACGAGACTATAGGGACCAGGACGAGACTATAGGGACCAGGACGAGACTGTTGGGACCAGGAGGAGACTGTAGGGACCAGGAGGAGACTGTAGGGACCAGGACGAGACTGTAGGGACCAGGAGAGGAGACTGTGGGGACCAGGAGGAGACTGTGGGGACCAGGACGAGACTGTAGGGACCAGGACGAGACTGTAGGGACCAGGAGAGGAGACTGTGGGGACCAGGAGGAGACTGTAGGGACCAGGTCGAGACTTTAGGGACCAGGACGAGACTTTAGGGACCAGGACGAGACTGTAGGGACCAGGAGAAGACTGTAGGGACCAGGAGGAGACTGTGGGGACCAGGAGGAGACTGTGGGGACCAGGACGAGACTGTAGGGACCAGGACGAGACTGTAGGGACCAGGAGGAGACTGTAGGGACCAGGAGGAGACTATAGGGACCAGGAGAAGACTGTAGGGACCAGGAGGAGACTATAGGGACCAGGAGGAGACTGTAGGGACAAATACTAAAGGATAACTGGAGAACAACAGACCTGACCCCGACCACTGTTGAACCATAAACGTCTCAAAGATTAAGATGAAAATCCTTTACTGGTCCCACAGGGAAATTCCAGTGTTGCATCGTCACAGAGCAGAAAATGAGGAGCACAAGATTAAACATCACTCACTGGAAACTCAGGAGGCTCACTCCGTTCTTCTCATACTCATGTAGGAGCAGCAGCAGCTTCTGGTCTGTGGACACACAACATGGACACACATGAGACACACAACATGGACACACAACATGGACACACAACATGGACACACATGAGACACAGAGCATGGAAACACAACATGAGAAACACAGCATGGAAACACAACATGAGAAACACAGCATGGAAACACAACATGAGAAACACAACATGGACACACATGAGACACACAACATGAGACACACAACATGGACACACATGAGACACAGAGCATGGAAACACAACATGAGAAACACAGCATGGAAACACAACATGAGAAACACAACATGGACACACAACATGAGACACACAAAATGGACACACAACATGAGAAACACAGCATGGAAACACAACATGAGAAACACAACATGGACACACATGAGACACAGAGCATGGAAACACAACATGAGAAACACAACATGGACACACATGAGAAACACAGCATGGAAACACAACATGAGAAACACAACATGGACACACATGAGACACACAACATGAGACACACAACATGGACACACAACATGAGACACACAACATGGACACACATGAGACACACAACATGGACACACAACATGGACACACAGCATGGATACACATGAGACACACAACATGGACACACAACATGGACACACAGCATGGATACACATGAGACACACAACATGGACACACATGAGACACACAACAGGAGGAGGTGCTTACCCACAGAGAGAGAGAGGAGGTGCTTACCACAGAGAGAGGAGGAGGTGCAAACCACAGAGAGAGAGGAGGTGCTTACCACAGAGAGAGGAGGAGGTGCTTACCCACAGAGAGAGGAGGAGGTGCTTACCACAGGGAGAGGAGGAGGTGCTTACCCACAGAGAGAGAGGAGGTGCTTACCACAGAGAGAGGAGGAGGTGCTTACCCACAGAGAGAGGAGGAGGTGCTTACCCACAGAGAGAGGAGGAGGTGCTTACCCACAGAGAGAGGAGGAGGTGCTTACCCACAGAGAGAGGAGGAGGTGCTTACCCACAGGGAGAGGAGGAGGTGCTTACCACAGAGAGAGAGGAGGAGGTGCTTACCCACAGAGAGAGAGGAGGAGGTGCTAACCACAGAGAGAGAGGAGGTGCTTACCCACAGAGAGAGAGAGAGGAGGTGATTACCCACAGAGAGAGAGAGAGGAGGTGCTTACCACAGAGAGAGGAGGAGGTGCTTACCACAGAGAGAGGAGGAGGTGCTTACCCACAGAGAGAGGAGGAGGTGCTTACCCACAGAGAGAGGAGGAGGTGCTTACCCACAGAGAGAGGAGGAGGTGCTTACCCACAGAGAGAGGAGGAGGTGCTTACCCACAGAGAGAGAGGAGGTGATTACCCACAGAGAGAGGAGGAGGTGCTTACCCACAGGGAGAGGAGGAGGTGCTTACCACAGAGAGAGAGGAGGAGGTGCTTACCCACAGAGAGAGAGGAGGAGGTGCTAACCACAGAGAGAGAGAGGAGGTGCTTACCCACAGAGAGAGAGAGAGGAGGTGCTTACCCACAGAGAGAGAGAGAGGAGGTGCTTACCACAGAGAGAGGAGGTGCAAACCACAGAGAGAGGAGGAGTTGCTTACCCACAGGGAGAGGAGGAGGTGCTTACCCACAGAGAGAGAGAGAGGAGGTGCTTACCACAGAGAGAGGAGGAGGTGCAAACCACAGAGAGAGGAGGAGTTGCTTACCCACAGGGAGAGGAGGAGGTGCTTACCCACAGAGAGAGGAGGAGGTGCTTACCCACAGAGAGAGGAGGAGGTGCTTACCCACAGAGAGAGGAGGAGGTGCTTACCCACAGGGAGAGGAGGAGGTGCTTACCCACAGAGAGAGGAGGAGGTGCTTACCCACAGAGAGAGGAGGTGATTACCACAGAGAGAGGAGGAGGTGCTTACCCACAGAGAGAGGAGGAGGTGCTTACCCACAGAGGGAGGAGGAGGTGATTACCACAGAGAGAGGAGGAGGTGCTTACCACAGAGAGAGGAGGAGGTGCTTACCCACAGAGAGAGGAGGAGGTGCTTACCCACAGAGAGAGGAGGAGGTGCTTACCCACAGAGAGAGGAGGAGGTGCTTACCACAGAGAGAGGAGGAGGTGCTTACCACAGAGAGAGGAGGAGGTGCTTACCCACGGTACTGAGGGAGGCTCCGTATGCTCCCAGGAGAACCACAAAGTGATTCATGTTACACACAGAGGGACATCTGCGAACCAGGCACAGCAGGAGGCCCACCAGGGCTTCTACACACACAGACACACACACACACACAGACACACACACACACACAGAGACACACACACACACAGAGACACACATGCACAAAATAATTAAAAACCCAATTTCTGGATAGAGACACCAAATCTGAGTGTTCTCTCCATGCCAAATGTGACATGTAAATTTCTCCTGTGAGATAAATAAAGCACATCTTATCTTATCACACGCTCTTCACAGCCGCAGCAGAACCATTGATGTGAATGTCATTTCAAAACATTCTACCGGTCATTATTTTCTATAACGGACCTCTCAAAACAATAATGACCGCTGCCCTTTGGCAACGCACTCTCTGCTTGTCTTTCAAATGCGTGGATAACTCCGACAGTAGTTCTGGCCACTCCGGAGCTCGCCACGCTCAATCAACACACTTAAATGTTAATCGGAGAATACTTTATACTTATACATTCTTCACACACGTGCACGGACATTTTCAGAATGTTCTGGTCTTGTCTTCGTGACAAAAATACTATTTCTCTGCGTCAAAAAGCGATCGTGAAAAACCCGGAAGTAGTTCCGGCCGCTCAATAAACGCAAATGCCAATCAATCAACGCAATCAAATGTTAATGGAAAGGTAATTTATACATATACAGTCTTAATACAAGTGCACGGAAGTTTTCAGAATTTTCCGTTTCCGTTTTCATGACAAAAACACTGATGTAATGCGAGAAAAGGCGATCCCAAAAAACCCGGAAGTAGATACGGCACATTTTCGGACACATGCAGAGGATGGAATTATGGATTTAGGTTAAGTTTATGTTTGGGTCACTCACCGCTGATGTTCAGGATTCTGTGTTCAGTTTTCATGCAGTTCCAGAGAGTTCTAGTTTGGAAGTTGCTAGCCGAAGTGCTGCTAGCATAGCCACAGGAAAGCCTTTGGGAACTATTTTATTTTCTGTCATTAAATAAACCTTTGGGCATTCCTAAAAGTGGACCGAGGTTTATGTTGTGTTCTGTTGGTATAAAGCCGTGTAATAAGCGGGATAACGTATATTACGCAGGTCATTATCGCCATCATGAGGTCACCCACCCCCCCATAGGACCCTATTGATTACACTGTGTACTACAGCAGGAGCAAAGCCATTCAGTGCCTCCGGCACTGTTTTGTCAGTGTCTGGGCACGCGCCGTCGGGCTTGGGGGACGAATGTGCTGAGGGAGGTTAGCACATTCGCTGCGCGTCGGGGTCCGCTTCGCCCTGTCGGTATTTGTTTTCCGATAATGACTTGCGTAATATACGTTATCCCTTACTTATTTAATTAAGAGAAAACTAAGGTCAGAGAGCGTCCGTCCGTCCGTCCGTCCGTCCGTCCGTCCGTCCGTCCGTCTGTCTGTGTGTGTGTGTGTGTGTTTTGATATCAGTGGCAGGACCTTTGGCCTCAGCTGCTGCCGGCTCCTCGGGGCTCTCCAACATACAGGGCAGGAACATGGAGTGGCTGCTGCTCATCATGTGGAGGGTGGGTAAGGGCAGCAGGTCTGGGTGGGCCTCCCCCGTCTCCCCCGTCTCCCCCGCCCTGTAGACCACCTCCACCAGGCCGCAGAGCGAGCGGAGGAAGGCTGCATGCTTGAACCGACTCCTGAGGCACAAACAGGACGTGTGAGTGTGAGACAGAGGCAGAGACAGAGACAGAGACAGAGGCAGAGGCAGAGGCAGAGGCAGAGGCAGAGGCAGAGGCAGAGACAGAGACACAGGCAGAGGCAGAGGCAGAGGCAGAGGCAGAGGCAGAGGCAGAGGCAGAGACAGAGACAGAGGCAGAGGCAGAGGCAGAGGCAGAGGCAGAGGCAGAGGCAGAGGCAGAGGCAGAGACAGAGGCAGAGACAGAGGCAGAGGCAGAGGCAGAGGCAGAGGCAGAGGCAGAGGCAGAGGCAGAGGCAGAGGCAGAGGCAGAGGCAGAGACAGAGACAGAGACAGAGGCAGAGGCAGAGACAGAGACAGAGGCAGAGACAGAGGCAGAGGCAGAGGCAGAGGCAGAGACAGAGACAGAGACAGAGGCAGAGACAGAGGCAGAGGCAGAGGCAGAGGCAGAGGCAGAGACAGAGACAGAGGCAGAGGCAGAGGCAGAGGCAGAGGCAGAGACAGAGGCAGAGGCAGAGGCAGAGACAGAGACAGAGACAGAGGAGGAAGTGTGTTTTACTTGAGTCCAGTTTTGACAAAGCTGTTCCACTCCGAGGCAGAGGTGTCGCTGCCGCTCGTCTTCATGAAACAAAGGAATGAAAATAAGACATTCTACACTTCTCCAACGAAGACACTAAAGGGGATGTCCGCTACTTTTCATCCTGTGAAGAGAGCGCCCCCCCTCACCTGTCCATAAATACTTTCTGTATTTATGGACAGAGTGGTGTTGCCTTGTTTTTACTTTTACTAAATCCTGCATTGTGGGTTATTCTTATTTGCCACGTGACACGGTTCCATCCAAATAAACAGAAACACATCAGTCACACCTTACAGTGAACTTCCACATCAGTTAAACATCTGAAATCTAAAGATCACACAGCGGGGGAACAGGAGGGCTTTAAACACACAGGAGTCTCCACAGTCTCTCTGTGTGAAGGACATAGTAATGACCCACCATCAGAGTGTGCAGCGTGTCCAGGACTCTCTGCTCCTGCTGTGAGCGGGTGGCGTCGGGCTCCTTCACCTGGATGTAGGACGCTCTCAGACACACGAGGGCAGCAGAGAGCACAGCCCGCCGCCAGCGCTCACTCTCCTCCGGGCTCTGGGACAGTTTCTGCGTCATCACAGTGACCAGACGCCACCTGCAGGCGATGCTACAGTCAGGGACGCACACACAGGCTCTACATACAAGTCCTGAGCAGGCTTCAGCATATGTCCCGGGCGGTAAGAGTCTGATTAGCATTAGCGTTAGCACTAGCATTACCTGTCCATGGAGTCTGCGCTCTGGAGGGCAGCAGGCAGTTTGGAGCTCAGGTCTTTCATGTCCTTGGTCTTGGAGCAGAGATTGAGACATCGGTCTAATGTCTCCACGTAGTCCACAGTGGGGTTATCAGGGAGCTTCTCCAGTACGAGCTGGGACAGTCTGGCCAGCAGGGGGCGCTTCAACGTCTTCAGGACTTGTTCTTGCACTGAACAGATGACCCACAGAAACACAGTGTAACAGTCATTATCAGGCACCAGCTGTTGTAATGTCACAGTGACCCATGGAAACGGTTTAATACAGTCATAATAACTCTCTGTGAAGAAGAGAAAAGAGTTCCTACAAGCTTTACCACACGGGGGAGGGGGGGTCACTGCACAGGGGGAGAGAGGAGAGAGAGGTGGAGAGGAGAGAGAGAGAGGAGGAGAGAGGAGAGAGGGGAGAGGAGAGAGGAGAGAGAGGGGAGGAGAGAGGAGAGGGGAGAGAGGGGGAGGAGAGAGGAGAGGAGAGGGGAGAGGGGAGAGAGGGGAGAGGGGAGAGAGGGGAGAGAGGGGAGAGGGGAGAGAGGAGAGAGAGAGGGGAGAGAGGGGGGAGAGGAGAGAGAGGAGAGAGAGGGGAGAGGAGAGAGAGGGGAGAGAGGGGAGAGGGGAGAGAGGAGAGAGAGGAGAGAGGAGAGAGAGAGAGAGAGAGGAGAGAGAGGTGGAGAGGAGAGGGGAGAGAGGTGGAGAGGAGAGAGGAGAGAGAGGGGAGGAGAGAGAGGGGAGAGGAGAGAGGAGAGAGAGGGGAGGAGAGAGGAGAGGGGAGAGAGAGGGGAGAGAGGGGAGGAGAGAGGAGAGGAGAGGGGAGAGGGGAGAGAGGGGGAGAGGGGAGAGAGGGGAGAGAGGGGAGAGGGGAGAGAGGAGAGAGAGAGGGGAGAGAGGGGAGAGGAGAGAGAGGAGAGAGAGGGGAGAGGAGAGAGAGGGGAGAGAGGGGAGAGGAGGAGAGGAGAGAGAGGTGGAGAGGAGAGGGGAGAGAGGTGGAGAGGAGAGGGGAGAGAGGAGGGGGAGAGAGGAGAGGGGAGAGAGGAGAGGGAGAGAGAGGGAGGGAGAGGAGAGAGAGGAGAGAGAGGGGAGAGAGGAGAGAGAGGGAGAGAGAGGGGGAGAGGGAGGGAGAGGAGAGGGGAGAGGAGGAGAGGAGAGAGGGAGAGAGGAGGGAGAGGAGAGGAGAGAGAGAGGTGAGAGGAGAGGGGAGAGAGAGGAGAGAGAGAGAGGGAGATGGAGAGAGAGGAGAGGGGAGAGGAGAGGGAGAGAGAGAGAGGAGAGAGGAGAGAGGAGAGAGAGAGAGAGAGAGAGAGGAGAGGGAGAGGGAGAGAGGGAGAGAGGAGAGAGAGAGAGAGAGAGAGGAGAGAGAGAGGGAGAGGGAGAGAGAGAGGAGAGAGGGAGAGAGAGAGGAGAGAGAGAGAGAGAGAAGGAGAGAGGAGAGAGAGAGGAGAGGGGAGAGAGAGAGAGAGGAGAGAGAGAGGAGAGAGGAGAGAGAGAAGGAGAGGGGAGAGAGAGGGAGAGAGGGGAGAGAGAGGAGAGGGGAGAGAGAAGGAGGAGGATACAGGTGAAACATTATGTAATTTATTTTTTCATTCAACTATTCAAAGCTGAAGGCTGCAGACAGACCCACCTGGTCTTAGCACCTGGTCTTCAGCACCTGGTCTTCAGCACCTGGTCTTAGCACCTGGTCTTAGCACCTGGTCTTCAGCACCTGGTCTTAGCACCTGGTCTTAGCACCTGGTCTTTAGCACCTGGTCTTAGCACCTGGTCTTAGCACCTGGTCTTAGCACCTGGTCTTAGCACCTGGTCTTAGCACCTGGTCTTAGCATCATAAAGAGTATGTATGAGAGAAGGGACCCACCCTCTCGGGGCCGGGCCGGGTCCTCTCTCTCTGCGAGCTGGAGGTAGACGTCAATGACAGGATGAAACTCCTCCATCTCCTCCACCAGCCTCTCCACGCTCCCCGCCTCCAGGCACCACCGGTCGAAGCAGAGTCGGTGCGTGGCTGCGTTCTGGAGCAGCAGCGCCGCGATCCTGCCGCCGTCCCCTCCCCTCTGGCCCAGACAGTGCAGCAGAACCTGGGGGTGGACCAGCTTTGCACTGCCCGGCTCCTGGGACAGCAGCTGCAGGAACAGGGCCTCCAACGCCGGACTGGAGCAGGACAGGAGCAGGGTGCCCAGGCCGCTGAGGTGGGACTGGGACAGACACACGGAGCCAGCGCGGTACGTGAGGACGGACAGCGCGGCGTGACCGTAGACGCTGAGTTGGTCTCCGCTGATGAGGAAGTGAGGAGGCAGTGAGAGCAGAGCGGAGGTCACGTCCTGGATGTGGGAGTCGTCCATGTACAAACACAGAGAGCTCAGAGCCTGCATGGCCTGGGACTGGGTGTTGGCTCGCTGAATGCTCTTCTCCCTGAGCTCCTTGAGGACCGCGGTGACCAGGGCGCGGGTGTAGGGCTGCAGTAGGTCCTGGCGGTGCAGTCTGATGATTGTAGGAGAGACAAGGCGCAGCAGGTCGAGGGTGTGTCGGGTGAGGAGGGAGCACAGCTGTTTTACCTGCACAGGTTTGAGGCTGTGAGGAGGAAGTGACACTCCTCCATCGACAGCCAGAAACCACTGCTGCAAGCACGGGTCCTTCAAGATGGAGGACAGGCTGGAGATGACCATCTGCACACAGGGAGAAAGGACTAATGTGGACAGAGACCTGAGACCAGGACTAATGTGAGAGGACTTCAGGACAGAGACCTGAGACCAGGACTAATGTGAGAGGACTTCAGGACAGAGACCTGAGACCAGGACTAATGTGAGAGAGTTCCGTATATGATCTAGTGCTGACCGTACCTGCTCTTTGGCTGCTTCCTGGTGATACGCCTCCTCTGCCCCCTCTGCTGGGTGACTCTCTCCTGGGTGGCCCTCTGCTGGGTGGCCCTCTGCTGGGTGACTCTCTCCTGGGTGGCCCTCTGCTGGGTGACTCTCTCCTGGGTGGCCCTCTGCTGGGTGACTCTCTCCTGGGTGGCCCTCTGCTGGGTGACTCTCTCCTGGGTGGCCCTCTGCTGGGTGACTCTCTCCTGGGTGGCCCTCTGCTGGGTGACTCTCTCCTGGGTGGCCCTCTGCTGGGTGACTCTCTCCTGGGTGGCCCTCTGCTGCCCCTGGTGGACAGTCACGGTGCAGCACTCTGAGCACCAGCAGCTGCAGTATCCTCAGGAGGTTTGTCATGACCATGTTTCCCTGGTCTTGGGAGAACTGCAGAAACACAATAAACATCAGTTTCATAGAAAAGAACACATAGTTTGTTGTGTGCAGGGAGAGCATTACAGGAAGAAGACCGAGGGCGAGTACACACACACACTCTCTCGTACCGAGCTGAAGTCCTCTGCTGTGGTCCTGAGGTAGAGCAGGGTCTGTCTCACGGCCACAGGACCCTGGGTCTGGTCCATGTGCTGCAGTGAGGGGCCGAGAGAGTCCACTAGGCCCCGTGTCCCCAGCACAGCAGGACCCTGGATGAAGGCCGCTCTGAGCCCAGCACTGAATGTAGCAGGAGCCTCCACATCTGTCACTTCCACACCTTTGAACTGGAACAAGGAGGAAGTCTTTAACGATAGGACGACACATTCATAACAGTTCATACTTTTTGATCTCTCTCTGGTCTCTCTGGTCTCTCTCTCTGGTCTCTCTCTCTGGTCTCTCTCTGGTCTCTCTGGTCTCTCTGGTCTCTCTCTCTGGTCTCTCTCTGGTCTCTCTGGTCTCTCTGGTCTCTCTCTCTGGCCTCTCTCTCTGGTCTCTCTCTGGTCTCTCTCTCTGGTCTCTCTCTGGTCTCTCTCTCTGGTCTCTCTCTCTGGCCTCTCTCTCTGATCTCTCTCTGGTCTCTCTCTCTGGTCTCTCTTTCTGAAGCAGGACTCACCAGGTGTTTGTCACTTTCCTCTGGGAGCCATTTGGAGTAGTAGCTGTGCAGGTGGATCACAGAGGAGTGAGGGGAGGACAGGGAGGTCTGAGGGGGGGTCTGAGGGGGGGTCTGGGAGGAGGACAGGGAGGTCAGCAGGTCCCGGTCAGACTGCAGCAGGCACAGACACAGGGGCAGTGGATCTCTCTGACAGTGCAGGACTCGAGTCAGGACCGCGCTCAGGAACTCAAACACCTCGTCTGCAGAGAACCAACAAGTCATACAGGATTATTAAACATTATTCAAAGGTTAAATCTGGAACAGTCTTCCAGAAAACATGAGGCAGGCTTCTATTCCTTTGAATGTTCTGAAACAGCAGCGAGTCCTGAGTCGCTCTGAAACATTTTTCTAGATTTTTCTCTGTGTCGATGTTACTGCAGAACAGTGATCCAGACCAGACCAGAGAAGAGGCTCCAAACCAAACAGATCAAGCCAAAATCCACTGTAGGAATGCCATTTTCTTTTATAAAATGCTAACAAAGCATTTAGAATGTCACTCTGAAGCAGAGCAGCAGGTCCAAACCAAACAGACTGACATCAGAGGCAGCAGCTCACTTAATTACTATTGTCACTTTTACAATGAGGTATTTATTAGTTTGAACCTTTCCCGGGGGGGAGTTTGTTGCGAGCCTCCAGTGCTGCAGGGACCAAGGCGCTGAAGGGGAAGGTCTGTAGTACGATCTCTTCACTCAGAGCAGGTCCAAACTCCTCCATGTCCCCATCACTGCTCTCCATGATCACATCCAGCATGTCCAGGACGTCTGCGGAGAGAGGGCAGCACTGACTGGGGGGTAACAGGCTAACCAGGCTAACATGGCTAACAAGGCTAATGAAACTAACAGGGCGAACAAGCTAACCAGGCTTACAAGGCTAACCAGGCTAATAAGGCTAACCATGCTGATGACACTAACCAGGATAATTTCTGATTTCTGTCCATGCTCCTTTCTCGTCTTTTGCCTTTTCGTCAGCGTTAGTTTGGAGCATTATTTGAGCCTTATTCTAACCCGAATATTGTCCTCATAGTTTTGTGAATGAAATAAACACGGAATATAAGCAGTGTGTTCTTTACCATCGATGTGTGAGACTGGGACACTGACGGCCTCGTCCTGCCCGCTCAGGTTGGCCTGGAGGAGCGCCCCCTCCTGGACATGACAGGCCACTTTATCTGTGTAAACGTGTGAGCAGGAGACCAGCTTCAGCAGCACCTGCAGCAGAGACACAGCCTCAGAACACACAGGTACTGATCACAGGGACCAATCACAGGGACCGATCACAGGTACAAATCACAGGGACAGATCACAGGGACCGATCATAGGGACCGATCACAGGTACAAATCACAGGGACCGATCACAGGGACGGATCACAAGGACCAATCACAGGTACGGATCACAGGGACCTATCACAGGTACGGATCACATGGACCGATCACAGGGACCGATTACTGGTACGGATCACAGGTACGAATCACAGGGACCATCACAGGTACGAATCACAAGGACCATCACAGGTAGGGATCACAGGGACCATCACAGGTAGGGATCACAGGGACCATCACAGGTACGGAATACTGTACTTTTTCAACAAAATGGACGACAGTGTCTCGCTGGCCCGACTTCACAGCAGAGAGCTGGTCCAGCCATAGGTCCAGCTCGGTCCAGGTGTGTTCGAACACGCCGCTGTCTCTGAGGACCTGAAACACACATCTATAAACATCACAATGAGGACCTGAAACACACATCTATAAACATGACAATGAGGACCTGAAACACACATCTATAAACATGACAATGAGGACCTGAAACACACATCTATAAACATCACACTGAGGACCTGAAACACACATCTATAAACATCACAATGAAGACCTGAAACACACATCTATAAACATCACAATGAGAACCTGAAACACACATCTATAAACATCACAATGAGGACCTGAAACACACATCTATAAACATCACAATGAAGACCTGAAACACACATCTATAAACATCACAATGAGGACCTGAAACACACATCTATAAACATCACAATGAGGACCTGAAACACACATCTATAAACATCACAATGAGGACCTGAAACACACATCTATAAACATGACAATGAGGACCTGAAACACACATCTATAAACATGACAATGAGGACCTGAAACACACATCTATAAACATGACAATGAGGACCTGAAACACACATCTATAAACATCACACTGAGGACCTGAAACACACATCTATAAACATCACAATGAAGACCTGAAACACACATCTATAAACATCACAATGAGAACCTGAAACACACATCTATAAACATCACAATGAGGACCTGAAACACACATCTATAAACATCACAATGAAGACCTGAAACACACATCTATAAACATCACAATGAGGACCTGAAACACACATCTATAAACATCACAATGAGGACCTGAAACACACATCTATAAACATCACAATGAGGACCTGAAACACACATCTATAAACATGACAATGAGGACCTGAAACACACATCTATAAACATCACAATGAGGACCTGAAACACACATCTATAAACATGACAATGAGGACCTGAAACACACATCTATAAACATCACAATGAAGACCTGAAACACACATCTATAAACATCACAATGAGGACCTGAAACACACATCTATAAACATCACAATGAGGACCTGAAACACACATCTATAAACATGACAATGAGGACCTGAAACACACATCTATAAACATCACAATGAGGACCTGAAACACACATCTATAAACATGACAATGAGGACCTGAAACACACATCTATAAACATGACAATGAAGACCTGAAACACACATCTATAAACATGACAATGAGGACCTGAAACACAAATCTATAAACATCACAATGAGGACCAAAAACACACATCTATAAACATCACAATGAGGACCTGAAACACACATCTATAAACATCACAATGAGGACCTGAAACACACATCTATAAACATCACAATGAGGACCTGAAACACACATCTATAAACATCACAATGAGGACCTGAAACACACATCTATAAACATCACAATGAGGACCTGAAACACACATCTATAAACATCACAATGAAGACCTGAAACAACACAAACAGAAGGTGCTGTCTCTAATGTCTTCAAATCGTGAGAAAGAAAACGTTTTTTTAATAACACTAATTGTCGGAGAGAATCATCAGCTTTAGCTAACAACAACAAGCAAGCTAAAAACAACAAGCAAGCCAACAACAACAAGAAAACTAACAACAACAACAAGCTAACAATAACAAAAAAGCTAACAACAACAACAAGCAAGCTAACAACAACAAGCTAACAACAACAAGAAAACTAACAACAACAACAAGCTAACAACAACAAGCTAACAACAACAAAAAAGCTAACAACAACAACAAGCAAGCTAACAACAACAAGCAAGCTAACAACAACAAGAAAGCTAACAAGGACAAGCAGCTAACAAGAACAAGCTAACAGGACATTTTCCTGGTCCCTGTATCAGCTCCACATCCCCATCCAGGAAGAGCACAGTCTCTATGTTCAAGGCTTCAACCTGTCTTCTTTAACGTAGCAGATGGTTCTGTAAGTCTTAAAATACTACCTTAAGTCTTAAAATACTACCTTAAGACTAAAAACCCAGTCAGTGACGCTGCATTTGGAGAAACTCAAGTTTCTGGTAATGGATACATGGTTTCTCTGGTAATGGACACATGGTTTCTCTGGTAATGGACACGTAGTTTCTCTGTAATGGATACATGGTTTCTCTGGTAATGGACACATGGTTTCTCTGGTAATGGACACATGGTTTCTCTTCTTCACCTTCAGGAGCAGCTGCCTGGTGCAGGTCTTCAGGTGACTGCTGCTGCTGCTCACAAACAGGCTCAGAATCTGGTTCAGAACCGACTTCTCAGACGAGGACTCAGCGTCTGCAGACTCCTACAGGACATAGGGACATTTACAAATCCGACTGTTGTGATCACAGGTACACGCCTACTGTCGTGATCACAGGTACACGCCTCATTGCTAACATCACAATGAGACTAACCATCTCTAAGTTTCAATCACAGAGTTTTCTGTGGTTCTGCTTTGACTTTTTGTTCTAAAGTTCCTCAGACTTGGCTTCTTTGGCCGAGGGCAGTTTGGTCAGGGCCAAATAAAAGCAGTGTTAGTTTTTTGTACTATGAAGGTTAAATGACAAATTAGATTAGAAAAATAGATTATAGATCCCTTTGTCGACCTGACAAATATGTTTAGTTTTTATTGTACCTGTATCCAATATGCACGGTAATCACCTGTGTGCGGAACCAGGAGAACTTGCTCGAGGGCAGCTCTAGCGCCACCTGCAGGATGTGGTACTGCAGCAGCGGAGGGACACTGGTGCCCTTCTCTGACAGGATCCCTGAGGGTCAGAAACAACACATCCATCTCTGTCTCCACAGCCTCATGTGTAGGGGTGGGAACCTCAAGGTACCTCTTGATACGATATGCAATACAAAGCTCACGATACAGATTATATCACGATATGACGATTATCGATATATTGGTCAGAAATATACCTACGACTATTTATGGCATAAAAAAACAAAGTGACAAAATACACTTCATTTCATGATAAATGGAATGGAGATGCGTAATGTAGTCCTATATTAAGTATTGATACTAATTCAAAAGCATATCAATAATCGATCGCGTGAGAAAGTATCACGATACATCACCATATCGATATATCGTCACACTCCTACTCATGTCACATCTGTCTCCACAGCCTCATGTCACACACACTACCTTTGAGCAGTTTGCTGAAGTCGAACTTGCACTGCCCCACCAGGTGTGGCGCCACCTTCTGGTACAGACACATGACCTGAAGGATGCGGGCTTTGAGCAGAACCACCTCCGCGGCCTCAGGAGCTGGAGGAAAATGACAAGATGACACTACAAAACTAGGATGAAAGAACATTATCAGACTGACAAAGCCTGCCCATAAGTAAGTAAGTAATCTTTATTTATACAGCGCCTTTCACAGACCAGAGTCACAAAGCGCTCTGGTTTTTATGTATAAGTGAAAGATAAAAACAGTGATATGGAAACACAGTAGATACACAGATCCTGAAGATCCATACATTATCTTGGAACTTCAGCAATGTTAGAGGAGCTCGGCTACACCAGAAGAACAGAGTATAGATAAACTGGTCTGAAGCCTACGGACCTCCCACAAGATTATTATAACTTTTCTTTGCACTGTTTGATTCTCTGATCTGTGTTGGCAAATCAACGGTTTTGTAAAGCCCTTTGAGAAACTACTGTTGTGATTTAGGGCGATACACAAATAGATTGAATCAAATACCCTGGAGAATGTATAACTTCTCTGCATTTCTCAGAGAATAAACAAACTCAATGATAGTCATGACATCATTTATTGCTAAAGATGTGAACAGAATTATACATTTAATTCATAATAAATAAATATGAGGGTTACCTTGTCCTTCCTCGTCTCCATCACTCTCTGCTTTAGCCTGGGTCTCTGCTTTAGCCTGGGTCTCTGCTTTAGCCTGGGTCTCTGCTTTAGCCTGGGTCTCTGCTTTAGCCTGGGTCTCTGCTTTAGCCTGGGTCTCTGCTTTAGCCTCGGTCTCGGTTTTCTCCTTCTTGCTGAGCGCCTGCCACTTCCCCACGATGGTGGTCATGTCGGGCAGGATCTAAAAGGACACAGAGCGTTAGGACCCCAGATTGAGACGCGTGTGAACAGTGTGTGTGTTACTTTGCTGAGGCTCTCCTGGTACAGCTGGTGCAGGCCAGGCCCCTCAGGTCCCTCAGACCCCTCGGGCCCCTCAGACCCCTCGAGCTCCTCAGACCTCTCCTCTCTCTCCCTCAGGTACAGCAGGTTCACCAGGGCTCGCTCCAGGATGAAGTGCAGCACAGAGAAGGTGGTGAGCTGTGCCACAGGGGAAGGCAGCTACACAACATACACACAGAGACACACACACACACACAGAGTAGAACATGTTGTTACTGTGTGACCTAACGGCAGCATGTAGAGATTGAACCGAAGAGGTCCCAAGATCGACCCCTGTGGTACTCCACAGGTCAGGGCCATATGATCTGAGACAATCTCCAGATTGTGTACACACACACACTGAGGCCCTGGTGCATACACAGACACACACACTGAGGCCCTGGTGCATACACAGACACACACACTGAGGCCCTGGTGCATACACAGACACACACACTGAGGCCCTGGTGCATACAGACAGACACACACACACACACACACACACACAGACACACGCTTACACTGAGGCCTTGGTGCATACACACACACGCACACACACACAGACACACACACACACTTACACTGAGGCCCTGGGTGAAGAAGGCCTTGGTGCACACAGGGGGCAGAGACAGCACATGGATCATACTCAGCAGTCGACTGCAGGGGGCGCTGTCCTGACTGTGGAACACACTGGACACATCAGGCTGAGCTTCATAGATCTGAAAACAACAGGAAGTTAGTGTGGTCCCAGCCTCAGCCCTGGATCAGTGGTACTGTAGTCAGTGGTACTGTAGTACTGTAGTCAGTAGTACTGTAGTCAGTGGTACTGTAGTCAGTGGTACTGTAGTACTGTAGTCAGTAGTACTGTAGTCAGTGGTACTGTAGTCAGTGGTACTGTAGTACTGTAGTCAGTAGTACTGCAGTCAGTGGTACTGTGGACAGTAGTACTGTAGTCAGTGGTACTGTAGTCAGTAGTACTGTAGTCAGTAGTACTGTAGTCAGTGGTACTGTAGTCAGTGGTACTGTAGTCAGTGGTACTGTAGTACTGTAGTCAGTAGTACTGTAGTCAGTGATACTGTAGTCAGTAGTACTGTAGTCAGTGATACTGTAGTCAGTAGTACTGTAGTCAGTAGTACTGTAGTCAGTGGTACTGTAGTCAGTGGTACTGTAGTACTGTAGTCAGTGGTACTGTAGTCAGTGATACTGTAGTCAGTAGTACTGTAGTCAGTAGTACTGTAGTCAGTGGTACTGTAGTCAGTGGTACTGTAGTCAGTGGTACTGTAGTACTGTAGTCAGTAGTACTGTAGTCAGTAGTACTGTAGTCAGTAGTACTGTAGTCAGTAGTACTGTAGTCAGTGGTACTGTAGTCAGTGGTACTGTAGTCAGTAGTACTGTAGTCAGTGGTACTGTAGTCAGTGGTACTGTAGTCAGTGGTACTGTAGGCAGTGGTACTGTAGTACTGTAGTCAGTAGTACTGTAGTCAGTGGTACTGTAGTACTGTAGTCAGTGGTACTGTGGACAGTAGTACTGTAGTCAGTGGTACTGTAGTCAGTGGTACTGTAGTACTGTAGTCAGTGGTACTGTAGTCAGTGGTACTGTGGACAGTAGTACTGTAGTCAGTGGTACTGTAGTCAGTGGTACTGTAGTCAGTGGTACTGTAGTACTGTAGTCAGTAGTACTGTAGTCAGTAGTACTGTGGTCAGTGGTACTGTAGTCAGTGGAACTGTAGTACTGTGGTACTGTAGTCAGTGGTACTGTAGTCAGTAGTACTGTGGTCAGTGGTACTGTAGTCAGTGGTACTGTAGTCAGTAGTACTGTAGTCAGTAGTACTGTAGTCAGTGGTACTGTAGTCAGTAGTACTGTGGTCAGTAGTACTGTAGTCAGTAGTACTGTAGTCAGTGGTACTGTGGTCAGTAGTACTCAGTGGTACTGTGGTCAGTAGTGCTGTACTCAGTAGTACTGTAGTCAGTGGTACTGTAGTCAGTGGTACTGTAGTACTGTGGTACTGTAGTCAGTGGTACTGTAGTCAGTGGTACTGTGGTCAGTAGTACTCAGTGGTACTGTAGTACTGTGGTACTGTAGTCAGTGGTACTGTAGTCAGTGGTACTGTGGTCAGTAGTACTCAGTGGTACTGTGGTCAGTAGTACTGTGGTCAGTGGTACTGTACTCAGTAGTACTGTAGTCAGTAGTACTGTGGTCAGTGGTACTGTACTCAGTGGTACTGTACTCAGTAGTACTGTGGTCAGTAGTACTGTAGTCAGTGGTACTGTGGTCAGTAGTACTCAGTGGTACTGTACTCAGTAGTACTGTAGTCAGTGGTACTGTACTCAGTAGTACTGTGGTCAGTGGTACTGTACTCAGTGGTACTGTACTCAGTAGTACTGTGGTCAGTAGTACTGTAGTCAGTGGTACTGTGGTCAGTAGTACTCAGTGGTACTGTACTCAGTAGTACTGTAGTCAGTGGTACTGTACTCAGTAGTACTGTGGTCAGTGGTACTGTACTCAGTGGTACTGTACTCAGTAGTACTGTGGTCAGTAGTACTGTAGTCAGTGGTACTGTGGTCAGTAGTACTCAGTGGTACTGTACTCAGTAGTACTGTAGTCAGTGGTACTGTACTCAGTAGTACTGTGGTCAGTAGTACTGTGGTCAGTAGTACTCAGTAGTAGTCAGACCTTCTTCATGAGGCTGACGCTGCTCTGCCACGCCCCCTTGTGGCGGGGGCTGTAGGAGTGTTGTGTTTCTCTGAAGTATCGGTGGAGGAGGTCAGGGCTGGACCTCAGGACCTCCACCACCAGTTCTGACACCAGAGGGTCCTCAGGGGCCTTCAGAGACACCAGGAACTGCAGCAGGACCAGGTTCCCAGCTCTGCACCAGAGACAGAGGGCTTTGTATGCAGCAGTGTGCAGCTGTACATACATACAGCTGTCTGTGGTGTGTCTATGGTATGTCTTTGCAGTGTCTTTAGTGTGTCTGTGATGTGTCTTTAGTGTGTCTGTGATGTGTCTTTAGTGTGTCTGTGGTGTCGTTAGTGTGTCTGTGGTGTCTTTAGTGTGTCTGTGGTGTCTTTAGTGTGTCTGTGGTGTCTTTAGTGTGTCTGTGGTGTGTCTGTGGTGTCTTTAGTGTGTCTTTAGTGTGTCTGTGGTGTGTCTGTGGTGTCTTTAGTGTGTCTGTGGTGTCTTTAGTGTGTTTGTGGTGTCTTTAGTGTGTCTGTGGTGTCTTTAGTGTGTCTGTGGTGTCTTTAGTGTGTCTGTGGTGTGTCTGTGGTGTGTCTATGGTATGTCTTTGCAGTGTCTTTAGTGTGTCTATGATGTGTCTTTAGTGTGTCTGTGATGTGTCTTTAGTGTGTCTGTGGTGTCTTTAGTGTGTCTGTGGTGTCTTTAGTGTGTCTTTAGTGTGTCTGTGGTGTCTTTAGTGTGTCTGTGGTGTCTTTAGTGTGTCTGTGGTGTCTTTAGTGTGTCTGTGGTGTCTTTAGTGTGTCTGTGGTGTCTTTAGTGTGTCTGTGGTGTGTCTGTGGTGTCTTTAGTGTGTCTGTGATGTGTCTTTAGTGTGTCTGTGGTGTGTCTGTGGTGTCTTTAGTGTGTCTGTGGTGTCTTTAGTGTGTCTGTGGTGTCTTTAGTGTGTCTGTGGTGTCTTTAGTGTGTCTGTGGTGTGTCTATGGTGTCTTTAGTGTGTCTTTAGTGTGTCTGTGGTGTCTTTAGTGTCTGTAATGTGTCTTTAGTGTGTCTGTGGTGTCTTTAGTGTGTCTGTGGTGTCTTTGGTGTGTCTGTGGTGTCTTTAGTGTGTCTGTGGTGTCTTTAGTGTGTCTATGGTGTCTTTAGTGTGTCTGTGGTGTCTTTAGTGTGTCTGTGGTGTCTTTAGTGTGTCTGTAATGTGTCTTTAGTGTGTCTTTAGTGTGTCTGTGGTGTCTTTAGTGTGTCTGTGGTGTCTTTAGTGTGTCTTTAGTGTGTCTGTGGTGTCTTTAGTGTGTCTGTGGTGTCTTTAGTGTGTCTTTAGTGTGTCTGTGGTGTCTTTAGTGTGTCTGTGGTGTCTTTAGTGTGTCTGTGGTGTCTTTAGTGTGTCTTTAGTGTGTCTGTGGTGTCTTTAGTGTCTGTAATGTGTCTTTAGTGTGTCTGTGATGTGTCTTTAGTGTGTCTGTGATGTGTCTTTAGTGTGTCTTTAGTGTGTCTGTGGTGTCTTTAGTGTGTCTGTGGTGTCTTTAGTGTGTCTGTGGTGTCTTTAGTGTGTCTGTGGTGTGTCTGTGGTGTCTTTAGTGTGTCTGTGATGTGTCTTTAGTGTGTCTGTGGTGTCTTTAGTGTGTCTTTAGTGTGTCTGTGGTGTCTTTAGTGTCTGTAATGTGTCTTTAGTGTGTCTGTGGTGTCTTTAGTGTCTGTGATGTGTCTTTAGTGTGTCTTTAGTGTGTCTGTGGTGTCTTTAGTGTCTGTGATGTGTCTTTAGTGTGTCTTTAGTGTGTCTGTGGTGTCTTTAGTGTGTCTTTAGTGTGTCTGTGGTGTCTTTAGTGTGTCTGTGGTGTCTTTAGTGTGTCTGTGGTGTCTTTAGTGTGTCTGTGGTGTCTTTAGTGTGTCTGTGGTGTCTTTAGTGTCTGTGATGGGTCTTTAGTGTGTCTGTGGTGTCTTTAGTGTGTCTTTAGAGTGTTCTTAGTGTGTCTTTGTGGTGTCTTTAGTGTGTCTGAAGTGAGTACCGTGGAGAGGCCGTACCTTCCTGCGGTCCCAAAGCTGGGGTCGTGGAAACTGATGCCGTGTTTACGAGAACAGCAAAGGTCCAGAAGGAAACTGTGGATCTGAGCCCGGACCAGAGAGACCCCACTGAGCTGAGACTCCACCATCTGAGACACACAGACAGACACACAAATACACAAAAACACACACATACATACACAGACACACACACACACACACACACACACACACATACAGACACACAATTCAATATTATCGTGATTCTTCACATATTGTGATACAGTCTGTGATTCTGAGATAGATCATGATTCATGTGCTTTATATAATTCAAACTTTACAAACTAACAAGAGCTAAACCTCAGATGGAAACAGGAAACACTGAAACTGATCCTTATGTTTTTAAATATCTCAATACTGTCTGTATTCATTTAAATGGGTCTAAAATATCATAATTCTACTGAAAAGAATCGACTTCACAACGTCACAGGCGTGTCAGAGGCGTGTCACAGTCGTGTCACAGGCGTGTCACAGACGTGTCAGAGGCGTGTCACAGACGTGTCAGAGGCGTGTCTGAGGCGAGTCACAGACGTGTCTGAGGCGAGTCACAGTCGTGTCACAGGCGTGTCACAGACGTGTCAGAGGCGTGTCACAGACGTGTCAGAGGCGTGTCACAGACGTGTCAGAGGCGTGTCACAGACGTGTCAGAGGCGTGTCACAGACGTGTCAGAGGCGAGTCACAGACGTGTCAGAGGCGTGTCAGAGGCGTGTCACAGATGTGTCAGAGGCGTGTCAGAGGCGTGTCAGAGGCGTGTCACAGATGTGTCAGAGGCGTGTCACAGATGTGTCAGAGGCGTGTCACAGATGTGTCAGAGGCGTGTCACAGATGTGTCAGAGGCGTGTCACAGATGTGTCAGAGGCGTGTCACAGATGTGTCAGAGGCGTGTCACAGATGTGTCAGAGGCGTGTCACAGATGTGTCAGAGGCGTGTCACAGATGTGTCAGAGGCGTGTCACAGATGTGTCAGAGGCGTGTCACAGATGTGTCAGAGGCGTGTCACAGATGTGTCAGAGGCGTGTCACAGATGTGTCAGAGGCGTTTCACAGATGTGTCAGAGGCGTGTCACAGATGTGTCAGAGGCGTGTCACAGATGTGTCAGAGGCGTTTCACAGACGTGTCAGAGGCATGTCACAGATGTGTCAGAGGCGTGTCACAGTCGTGTCACAGGCGTGTCACAGACGTGTCAGAGGCGTGTCACAGATGTGTCAGAGGCGTGTCACAGACGTGTCAGAGGCGTGTCAGAGGCATGTCACAGATGTGTCAGAGGCGTGTCACAGTCGTGTCACAGGCGTGTCACAGACGTGTCAGAGGCGTGTCACAGACGTGTCAGAGGAGTGTCACAGACGTGTCAGAGGCGTGTCTGAGGCGAGTCACAGACGTGTCTGAGGCGAGTCACAGTCGTGTCACAGCCGTGTCACAGACGTGTCAGAGGCGTGTCACAGACGTGTAAGAGGCGTGTCACAGACGTGTCAGAGGCGTGTCACAGACGTGTCAGAGGCGTGTCTGAGGCGAGTCACAGACGTGTCAGAGGCGAGTTACAGACGTGTCACAGATGTGTCAGAGGCGTGTCACAGATGTGTCAGAGGCGTGTCACAGATGTGTCAGAGGCGTGTCAGAGGCATGTCACAGATGTGTCAGAGGCGTTTCACAGATGTGTCAGAGGCGTGTCACAGACGTGTCACAGATGTGTCAAAGGCGTGTCACAGATGTGTCAAAGGCGTGTCAGAGGCATGTCACAGATGTGTCAGAGGCGTGTCACAGATGTGTCAGAGGCGTGTCAGAGGCGTGTCACAGATGTGTCAAAGGCGTGTCACAGATGTGTCAGAGGCGTTTCACAGATGTGTCAGAGGCGTGTCACAGATGTGTCAGAGGCGTGTCACAGATGTGTCAGAGGCGTTTCACAGATGTGTCAGAGGCGTGTCACAAACGTGTCAGTGGCATGTCACAGGCGTGTCAGAGGCGTGTCAGTGGCATGTCACAGACGTGTCACAGGCGTGTCAGTGGCATGTCACAGGCGTGTCAGAGGCGTGTCAGTGGCATGTCACAGGCGTGTCACAGGCGTGTCACAGACGTGTCAGAGGCGTGTCACAAGCGTGTCACAGGCGTGTCAGAGGCGTGTCAGAGGCGTGTCAGTGTGATGTCACAGGCGTGTCTGAGGCGTGTCACAGACGTGTCAGAGGCGTGTCACAAGCGTGTCAGAGGCGTGTCACAGGCGTGTCAGAGGCGTGTCACAGGCGTGTCAGAGGTGTGTCACAGACGTGTCACAGGCGTGTCACAGATGTGTCAGAGGCGTGTCAGAGGCGTGTCACAGATGTGTCAGAGGCGTGTCACAGATGTGTCACAGGCGTGTTAGTGGCAATGTCACAAGCGTGTCAGTGGCATGTCACAGGCGTGTCACAGACGTGTCACAGGCGTGTCAGAGGCGTGTCAGTGGCATGTCACAGGCGTGTCTGAGGCGTGTCACAGACGTGTCAGAGGCGTGTCACAAGCGTGTCACAGGCGTGTCAGAGGCGTGTCAGAGGTGTGTCACAGACGTATCACAGGCGTGTCAGAGGCGTGTCACAGATGTGTCAGAGGCGTGTCAGAGGCGTGTCACAGATGTGTCAGAGGCGTGTCACAGATATGTCAGAGGCGTGTCACAGATGTGTCAGAGGCGTGTCACAGATGTGTCAGAGGCATGTCACAGATGTGTCAGAGGCGTTTCACAGATGTGTCAGAGGCGTTTCACAGATGTGTCAGAGGCGTGTCACAGATGTGTCAGAGGCGTGTCACAGATGTGTCAGAGGCGTGTCACAGATGTGTCAGAGGCGTTTCACAGATGTGTCAGAGGCGTTTCACAGATGTGTCAGAGGCGTTTCACAGATGTGTCAGAAGCGTTTCACAGATGTGTCAGAGGCGTGTCACAGATGTGTCAGAGGCGTTTCACAGATGTGTCAGAGGCGTTTCACAGATGTGTCAGAGGCGTGTCACAGATGTGTCAGAGGCGTGTCACAGATGTGTCAGAGGCGTGTCACAGATGTGTCAGAGGCGTTTCACAGATGTGTCAGAGGCGTGTCACAGATGTGTCAGAGGCGTTTCACAGATGTGTCAGAGGCGTTTCACAGATGTGTCAGAGGCGTGTCACAGATGTGTCAGAGGCGTGTCACAGATGTGTAAGAGGCGTGTCACAGATGTGTCAGAGGCGTGTCACAGATGTGTCAGAGGCGTGTCACAGATGTGTCAGAGGCGTGTCACAGATGTGTCAGAGGCGTGTCACAGATGTGTCAGAGGCGTGTCACAGATGTGTCAGAGGCGTGTCACAGATGTGTCAGAGGCGTTTCACAGATGTGTCAGAGGCGTGTCACAGATGTGTCAGAGGCGTGTCACAGATGTGTCAGAGGCATTTCACAGACGTGTCAGAGGCATGTCACAGATGTGTCAGAGGCGTGTCACAGTCGTGTCACAGGCGTGTCACAGACGTGTCAGAGGCGTGTCACAGATGTGTCAGAGGCGTGTCACAGACGTGTCAGAGGCGTGTCAGAGGCATGTCACAGATGTGTCAGAGGCGTGTCACAGTCGTGTCACAGGGTGTCACAGACGTGTCAGAGGCGTGTCACAGACGTGTCAGAGGAGTGTCACAGACGTGTCAGAGGCGTGTCTGAGGCGAGTCACAGACGTGTCTGAGGCGAGTCACAGTCGTGTCACAGCCGTGTCACAGACGTGTCAGAGGCGTGTCACAGACGTGTAAGAGGCGTGTCACAGACGTGTCAGAGGCGTGTCACAGACGTGTCAGAGGCGTGTCTGAGGCGAGTCACAGACGTGTCAGAGGCGAGTTACAGACGTGTCACAGATGTGTCAGAGGCGTGTCACAGATGTGTCAGAGGCGTGTCACAGATGTGTCAGAGGCGTGTCAGAGGCATGTCACAGATGTGTCAGAGGCGTTTCACAGATGTGTCAGAGGCGTGTCAGAGGCGTGTCACAGACGTGTCACAGATGTGTCAAAGGCGTGTCACAGATGTGTCAAAGGCGTGTCAGAGGCATGTCACAGATGTGTCAGAGGCGTGTCACAGATGTGTCAGAGGCGTGTCAGAGGCGTGTCACAGATGTGTCAAAGGCGTGTCACAGATGTGTCAGAAGCGTTTCACAGATGTGTAAGAGGCGTGTCACAGATGTGTCAGAGGCGTGTCACAGATGTGTCAGAGGCGTTTCACAGATGTGTCAGAGGCGTGTCACAGTCGTGTCACAGGCGTGTCAGTGGCATGTCACAGGCGTGTCAGAGGCGTGTCAGTGGCATGTCACAGACGTGTCACAGGCGTGTCAGTGGCATGTCACAGGCGTGTCAGAGGCGTGTCAGTGGCATGTCACAGGCGTGTCACAGGCGTGTCACAGACGTGTCAGAGGCGTGTCACAAGCGTGTCACAGGCGTGTCAGAGGCGTGTCAGAGGCGTGTCAGTGTGATGTCACAGGCGTGTCTGAGGCGTGTCACAGATGTGTCAGAGGCGTGTCACAAGCGTGTCAGAGGCGTGTCACAGGCGTGTCAGAGGCGTGTCACAGGCGTGTCAGAGGTGTGTCACAGACGTGTCACAGGGCGTGTCACAGATGTGTCAGAGGCGTGTCAGAGGCGTGTCACAGATGTGTCAGAGGCGTGTCACAGATGTGTCACAGGCGTGTTAGTGGCAATGTCACAAGCGTGTCAGTGGCATGTCACAGGCGTGTCACAGACGTGTCACAGGCGTGTCAGAGGCGTGTCAGTGGCATGTCACAGGCGTGTCTGAGGCGTGTCACAGACGTGTCAGAGGCGTGTCACAAGCGTGTCACAGGCGTGTCAGAGGCGTGTCAGAGGTGTGTCACAGACGTATCACAGGCGTGTCACAGGCGTGTCAGAGGCGTGTCACAGATGTGTCAGAGGCGTGTCAGAGGCGTGTCACAGATGTGTCAGAGGCGTGTCACAGATGTTTCACAGGCGTGTTAGTGGCAATGTCACAAGCGTGTCAGTGGCATGTCACAGGCGTGTCACAGACGTGTCACAGGCGTGTCAGAGGCGTGTCAGTGGCATGTCAGTGGCATGTCACAGGCGTGTCTGAGGCGTGTCACAGACGTGTCAGAGGCGTGTCACAAGCGTGTCACAGGCGTGTCACAAGCGTGTCACAGGCGTGTCAGAGGCGTGTCAGAGGTGTGTCACAGACGTATCACAGGCGTGTCACAGGCGTGTCAGAGGCGTGTCACAGATGTGTCAGAGGCGTGTCAGAGGCGTGTCACAGATGTGTCAGAGGCGTGTCACAGATGTGTCACAGGCGTGTTAGTGGCAATGTCACAAGCGTGTCAGTGGCATGTCACAGGCGTGTCACAGACGTGTCACAGGCGTGTCAGAGGCGTGTCAGTGGCATGTCACAGGCGTGTCTGAGGCGTGTCACAGACGTGTCAGAGGCGTGTCACAAGCGTGTCACAGGCGTGTCAGAGGCGTGTCAGAGGTGTGTCACAGACGTATCACAGGCGTGTCACAGGCGTGTCAGAGGCGTGTCACAGATGTGTCAGAGGCGTGTCAGAGGCGTGTCACAGATGTGTCAGAGGCGTGTCACAGATATGTCAGAGGCGTGTCACAGATGTGTCAGAGGCGTGTCACAGATGTGTCAGAGGCATGTCACAGATGTGTCAGAGGTGTTTCACAGATGTGTCAGAGGCGTTTCACAGATGTGTCAGAGGCGTGTCACAGATGTGTCAGAGGCGTGTCACCTATGTGTCAGAGGCGTTTCACAGATGTGTCAGAGGCGTTTCACAGATGTGTCAGAGGCGTTTCACAGATGTGTCAGAAGCGTTTCACAGATGTGTCAGAGGCGTGTCACAGATGTGTCAGAGGCGTTTCACAGATGTGTCAGAGGCGTTTCACAGATGTGTCAGAGGCGTGTCACAGATGTGTCAGAGGCGTTTCACAGATGTGTCAGAGGCGTGTCACAGATGTGTCAGAGGCGTTTCACAGATGTGTCAGAGGCGTTTCACAGATGTGTCAGAAGCGTTTCACAGATGTGTCAGAGGCGTGTCACAGATGTGTCAGAGGCGTTTCACAGATGTGTCAGAGGCGTTTCACAGATGTGTCAGAAGCGTTTCACAGATGTGTCAGAGGCGTGTCACAGATGTGTCAGAGGCGTTTCACAGATGTGTCAGAGGCGTTTCACAGATGTGTCAGAGGCGTGTCACAGATGTGTCAGAGGCGTTTCACAGATGTGTCAGAGGCGTGTCACAGATGTGTCAAAGGCGTGTCAGAGGCATGTCACAGATGTGTCAGAGGCGTGTCAGAGGCGTGTCACAGATGTGTCAGAGGCGTGTCACAGATATGTCAGAGGCGTGTCACAGATGTGTCAGAGGCGTGTCACAGATGTGTCAGAGGCATGTCACAGATGTGTCAGAGGCGTTTCACAGATGTGTCAGAGGCGTTTCACAGATGTGTCAGAGGCGTGTCACAGATGTGTCAGAGGCGTTTCACAGATGTGTCAGAGGCGTTTCACAGATGTGTCAGAGGCGTTGTCACAGATGTGTCAGAGGCGTTTCACAGATGTGTCAGAGGCGTGTCACAGATGTGTCACAGGCGTGTCAGAGGCGTGTCACAGATGTGTCAGAGGCGTGTCACAGGTGTGTCAGAGGCGTGTCAGAGGCGTGTCAGAGGCGTGTCAGAAGCGTGTCACAGACGTGTCAGAGGCGTGTCACAAGCGTGTCACAGGCGTGTCACAGGCGTGTCAGAGGTGTGTCACAAGCGTGTCACAGGCGTGTCAGAGGTGTGTCACAAGCGTGTCACAGGCGTGTCACAGATGTGTCAGAGGCGTGTCACAGATGTGTCAGAGGCGTGTCACAGATGTGTCAGAGGCGTGTCACAAATGTGTCAGAGGCGTGTCACAGATGTGTCAGAGGCGTGTCACAGATGTGTCAGAGGCGTGTCACAGATGTGTCAGAGGCGTGTCACAGATGTGTCAGAGGCGTGTCACAGATGTGTCAGAGGCGTGTCACAGATGTGTCAGAGGCGTGTCAGAGGCGTGTCACAAACGTGTCAGTGGCATGTCACAGGCGTGTCAGAGGCGTGTCAGTGGCATGTCACAGACGTGTCACAGGCGTGTCAGTGGCATGTCACAGGCGTGTCAGAGGCGTGTCACAGGCGTGTCTGAGGCGTGTCACAGACGTGTCAGAGGCGTGTCACAAGCGTTTCACAGGCGTGTCACAAGCGTGTCACAGGCGTGTCAGAGGCGTGTCAGTGGCATGTCACAGACGTGTCACAGGCGTGTCACAGGCGTGTCAGTGGCATGTCACAGGCGTGTCAGAGGCGTGTCAGTGGCATGTCACAGGCGTGTCACAGGCGTGTCACAGGCGTGTCACAGGCGTGTCAGTGGCGTGTCACAGGCGTGTCTGAGGCGTGTCACAGTTGTGTCAGAGGCGTGTCACAGGCGTGTCACAGGCGTGTCAGAGGCGTGTCAGTGGCATGTCAGAGGCGTGTCAGTGGCATGTCACAGGCGTGTCTGAGGCGTGTCACAGACGTGTCAGAGGCGTGTCACAGACGTGTCAGAGGCGTGTCACAGGCGTGTCACAGGAGTGTCACAGACGTGTCACAGGCGTGTCACAGGCGTGTCACAGGCGTGTCAGAGGCGTGTCACAGACGTGTCACAGGCGTGTCACAGGCGTGTCAGAGGCGTGTCAGAGGTTTGTCACAGACGTGTCACAGGCGTGTCACAGGCGTGTCAGAGGCGTGTCACTGGCGTGTCAGAGGCGTGTCACTGGCGTGTCAGAGGCGTGTCACTGGCGTGTCAGAGGCGTGTCAGAGGCGTGTCACAGGCGTGTCAGAGGCGTGTCACAGGCGTGTCAGAGATGTCACTCACAGAGTCGGCGGCGTCCTCGATCCCGTTCCATTTGTAAAGAGACGCCAAGTTTGACAAAACTGCAGCAGTGAAGAAACGCACCTTCTGTGTTTTACTGATGCCTTTGTTTAGGACCACCTGCAGAGAGAAGACAGAGACTGAAGCAGAGACTGAGGCAAAGACTGAAGCAGAGACTAAAGCAGAAACTGAGGCAGAGACTGAAGCAGAGACCGAAGCAGAGACTGAGGCAGAGACTGAAGCAGAGACTGAAGCAGAGTCTGAGGCAGAGACTGAGGCAGAGACTGAAGCAGAGACTGAGGCAGAGACTGAAGCAGAGACTGAGGCAGAGACTGAGGCAGAGACTGAAGCAGAGACTGAAGCAGAGACTGAAGCAGAGACTGAAGCAGAGACTGAAGCAGAGACTGAGGCAGAGACTGAAGCAGAGACTGAGGCAGAGACTGAAGCAGAGACTGAGGCAGAGACTGAGGCAGAGACTGAAGCAGAGACTGAAGCAGAGACTGAAGCAGAGACTGAAGCAGAGACTGAAGCAGAGACTGAAGCAGAGACTGAAGCAGAGACTGAAGCAGAGACTGAAGCAGAGACTGAGGCAGAGACTGAGGCATCGACTGAGGCAAAGACTGAAGCAGAGACTGAAGCAGAGACTGAGGCAGAGACTGAAGCAGAGACTGAAGCAGAGACTGAAGCAGAGACTGAAGCAGAGACTGAAGCAGAGACTGAAGCAGAAACTGAGGCAGAGACTGAAGCAGAGACTGAAGCAGAGACTGAGGCAGAGACTGAGGCAGAGACTGAGGCAGAGACTGAGGCAGAGACTGAAGCAGAGACTGAAGCAGAGACTGAAGCAGAGACTGAAGCAGAGACTGAAGCAGAGACTGAAGCAGAGACTGAAGCAGAGACTGAAGCAGAGACTGAAGCAGAGACTGAAGCAGAGACTGAGGCAGAGACTGAGGCATCGACTGAGGCAAAGACTGAAGCAGAGACTGAAGCAGAGACTGAGGCAGAGACTGAAGCAGAGACTGAAGCAGAGACTGAAGCAGAGACTGAAGCAGAGACTGAAGCAGAGACTGAAGCAGAAACTGAGGCAGAGACTGAAGCAGAGACTGAAGCAGAGACTGAAGCAGAGACTGAAGCAGAGACTGAGGCAGAGACTGAAGCAGAGACTGAAGCAGAGACTGAAGCAGAGACTGAAGCAGAGACTGAAGAAGAGACTGAAGCAGAGACTGAAGCAGAGACTGAAGCAGAGACTGAGGCAGAGACTGAGGCAGAGACTGAAGCAGAGACTGAAGCAGAGACTGAGGCAGAGACTGAGGCAGAGACTGAAGCAGAGACTGAAGCAGAGACTGAAGCAGAGACTGAAGCAGAGACTGAAGAAGAGACTGAAGCATAGACTGAAGCAGAGACTGAAGCAGAGACTGAAGCAGAGACTGAAGCAGAGACTGAAGAAAAGACTGAGGCAGAGACTGAAGCAGAGACTGAAGAAGAGACTGAAGCAGAGACTGAAGCAGAGACTGAAGCAGAGACTGAAGCAGAGACTGAAGCAGAGACTGAAGAAGAGACTGAGGCAGAGACTGAGGCAGAGACTGAGGCAGAGACTGAGGCAGAGACTGAAGCAGAGACTGAAGCAGAGACTGAAGAAGAGACTGAAGCAGAGACTGAAGCAGAGACTGAAGCAGAGACTGAAGCAGAGACTGAAGCAGAGACTGAAGAAGAGACTGAAGAAGAGACTGAGGCAGAGACTGAAGCAGAGACTGAAGCAGAGACTGAAGCAGAGACTGAAGAAGAGACTGAAGCAGAGACTGAAGCAGAGACTGAAGAAGAGACTGAAGCAGAGACTGAAGCAGAGACTGAAGCAGAGACTGAAGAAGAGCCTGAGGCAGAGACTGAGGCAGAGACTGAAGCAGAGACTGAAGCAGAGACTGAAGAAGAGACTGAGGCAGAGACTGAGGCAGAGACTGAAGCAGAGACTGAGGCAGAGACTGAAGCAGAGACTGAGGCAGAGACTGAGGCAGAGACTGAAGCAGAGACTGAAGCAGAGACTGAAGCAGAGACTGAAGCAGAGACTGAAGCAGAGACTGAGGCAGAGACTGAGGCAGAGACTGAGGCAGAGACTGAAGCAGAGACTGAGGCAGAGACTGAAGCAGAGACTGAGGCAGAGACTGAGGCAGAGACTGAAGAAGAGACTGAAGCAGAGACTGAAGAAGAGACTGAAGCAGAGACTGAAGCAGAGACTGAAGCAGAGACTGAGGCAGAGACTGAGGCAGAGACTGAAGCAGAGACTGAGGCAGAGACTGAAGCAGAGACCGAAGCAGAGACTGAGGCAGAGACTGAGGCAGAGACCGAAGCAGAGACTGAGGCAGAGACTGAGGCAGAGACCGAAGCAGAGACTGAAGCAGAGACTGAAGCAGAGACTGAGGCAGAGACTGAGGCAGAGACTGAAGCAGAGACTGAGGCAGAGACTGAAGCAGAGACTGAAGCAGAGACTGAGACAGAGACTGAAGCAGAGACTGAAGCAGAGACTGAAGCAGAGACTGAAGCAGAGACTGAAGCAGAGACTGAAGCAGAGACTGAAGCAGAGACTGAGGCAGAGACTGAAGCAGAGACTGAAGCAGAGACTGAGGCAGAGACTGAGGCAGAGACTGAGGCAGAGACTGAAGCAGAGACTGAAGCAGAGACTGAAGCAGAGACTGAGGCAGAGACTGAAGCAGAGACCGAAGCAGAGACTGAAGCAGAGACTGAAGCAGAGACTGAGGCAGAGACTGAGGCAGAGACTGAGACAGAGACTGAAGCAGAGACTGAAGCAGAGACTGAAGCAGAGACTGAGGCAGAGACTGAAGCAGAGACCGAAGCAGAGACTGAAGCAGAGACTGAAGCAGAGACTGAAGCAGAGACTGAGGCAGAGACTGAAGCAGAGACTGAGGCAGAGACTGAGGCAGAGACTGAGGCAGAGACTGAGGCAGAGACTGAAGCAGAAACTGAAGCAGAGACTGAAGCAGAGACTGAAGCAGAGACTGAGGCAGAGACTGAGGCAGAGACTGAGGCAGAGACTGAAGCAGAGACTGAAGCAGAGACCGAAGCAGAGACTGAAGCAGAGACTGAAGCAGAGACTGAGGCAGAGACTGAGGCAGAGACTGAGGCAGAGACTGAAGCAGAGACTGAAGCAGAGACTGAAGCTTCGGTCACTCACTCTGCTCTTCATTGTGGTCAGGAGCAGATTAACCACAGAAAGACGATCCTCTTTCAAACCCGTGCCCAGGATCTCAGGCAGAAACTCTGTCACGGACAAAAACAACTGTGAGGCTTTTATTAAAACTTTAAAAAGTACTTTTTAACCTTTTTAACCTCATTGTGCAACATTCTTCTGAGATGTGTTTTTAATGTACCTTTTATGTCCAGGATCTGTCCAATGGTGGCGTTGTCCCCGGAGACCAAAAAGGACAGAACAAACTGGATAAAGGCCATGCGCACGTCTGGTTTCCCCTGGAGCAGAACATTATGTCATGTTTAAAACCAAGATTTATGCTGCTAAAATCTGGAACAGTCTTCCTGAAAATGTGAGACAGGCTTCTTCTCTGACAATGTTCAAATCCAGGTAAAAAACAGATCAGTTTAGATCTTTAGGGATTGTATTTTTTTATGAGCTGGGATTATTTATTTATTCTAATGCCATATTTATTTAAATGTAAATGTTTCTTGTCTTTGAGTGGCTGTGTGTATGAACTGTGCTATACCAATAACCTTGAGGAGGCCTCACCTGCTTGTCCCTCCTCTTCGCCAGAGCAGACAGAGCCTTGTACGTGTGGATGTGGCTCAGGATCTCTCTGGAAGCTTCTGGGCCCTGAGCCACCATCGCAGACAGCACATTCACACACTGCCTCACGAACCTGTCAGAGAGGAGGGGGAAGGACATGACTGTGACACACTGCCTCACGAACCTGTCAGAGAGGAGGGGGAAGGACATGACTGTGACACACTGCCTCACGAACCTGTCAGAGAGGAGGGGGAAGGACATGACTGTGACACACTGCCTCACGAACCTGTCAGAGAGGAGGGGGAAGGACATGACTGTGACACACTGCCTCACGAACCTGTCAGAGAGGAGGGGGAAGGACATGACTGTGACACACTGCCTCACGAACCTGTCAGAGAGGAGGGGGAAGGACATGACTGTGACACACTGCCTCACGAACCTGTCAGAGAGGAGGGGGAAGGACATGACTGTGACACACTGCCTCACGAACCTGTCAGAGAGGAGGGGGAAGGACATGACTGTGACACACTGCCTCACGAACCTGTCAGAGAGGAGGGGGAAGGACATGACTGTGACACACTGCCTCACGAACCTGTCAGAGAGGAGGGGGAAGGACATGACTGTGACACACTGCCTCACGAACCTGTCAGAGAGGAGGGGGAAGGACATGACTGTGACACACTGCCTCACGAACCTGTCAGAGAGGAGGGGGAAGGACATGACTGTGACACACTGCCTCACGAACCTGTCAGAGAGGAGGGGGAAGGACATGACTGTGACACACTGCCTCACGAACCTGTCAGAGAGGAGGGGGAAGGACATGACTGTGACACACTGCCTCACGAACCTGTCAGAGAGGAGGGGGAAGGACATGACTGTGACACACTGCCTCACGAACCTGTCAGAGAGGAGGGGGAAGGACATGACTGTGACACACTGCCTCACGAACCTGTCAGAGAGGAGGGGGAAGGACATGACTGTGACACACTGCCTCACGAACCTGTCAGAGAGGAGGGGGAAGGACATGACTGTGACACACTGCCTCACGAACCTGTCAGAGAGGAGGGGGAAGGACATGACTGTGACACACTGCCTCACGAACCTGTCAGAGAGGAGGGGGAAGGACATGACTGTGACACACTGCCTCACGAACCTGTCAGAGAGGAGGGGGAAGGACATGACTGTGACACACTGCCTCACGAACCTGTCAGAGAGGAGGGGGAAGGACATGACTGTGACACACTGCCTCACGAACCTGTCAGAGAGGAGGGGGAAGGACATGACTGTGACACACTGCCTCACGAACCTGTCAGAGAGGAGGGGGAAGGACATAACTGTGACACACGGGAAGGAAACAGCTGGGACACAGGGGGACATAAATAACAGCGACACAGGGGGACATTAATGACAGTGACACGGGGACATAAATAACAGGGACACAGGGGGACATAAATAACTGCGACACAGGGGGACATTAATGACAGTGACACGGGGACATAAATAACAGGGACACAGGGGGACATAAATAAGTGCGACACAGGTCCCTCTCCTGCCGTCACCTGTGATTGGCCGAGTGCAGGGAGCCCAGCAGACTCTTCATGTGGCTCAGAACGCTCTTCTTCACGATGGCGTTCCCGACCGTGTTGAAGTGAGCGAGGTCCGAGGCCGTGCGCAGCAGAATCATCTCCAGACTCTCGAAGATCAACGTCAACTGGAGGAAAACATATGAATATTCATCAGTCTAATTATGTTAATGAAGGTGATTAAATACAGGACACTTCAGAAAGAACAAAACTATGAATAATGTCGACAGGAAAAGCAGACACAAGATTTTACATTTTTGATATATTTGAAATCCACTGACTTAAAGCTGCGTTACCTGACTTTAGGTTAATTCAGTCCATATCCTGCAGTGCAGTGGGATATACAACCTTTTAAAGAATAACTAGTGCAGATTTGTGCTGGAGTCATTTTATTTTAGATCAAGTTTTTGTGAAACAAGGAAGAGAATGTGTTTGGGTCCAGATTGTGACCAATCACAGCGGACCACTGGCCCCCGCAGGTCTGAGGTTAGCACAGACAGCTGAGGTTAGCACGGACAGGTCTGTGGTTAGCACAGACAGGTCTGAGGTTAGCACAGACAGGTCTGAGGTTAGCACGGACAGGTCTGTGGTTAGCACAGCAGGTCTGAGGTTAGCACAGACAGGTCTGTGGTTAGCACGGACAGGTCTGTGGTTAGCACAGACAGGTCTGAGGTTAGCACAGACAGGTCTGAGGTTAGCACAGACAGGTCTGTGGTTAGCACAGACAGGTCTGAGGTTAGCACAGACAGGTCTGAGGTTAGCACAGACAGGTCTGTGGTTAGCACAGACAGGTCTGAGGTTAGCACAGCAGGTCTGAGGTTAGCACAGACAGGTCTGTGGTTAGCACGGACAGGTCTGTGGTTAGCACAGACAGGTCTGAGGTTAGCACAGACAGGTCTGAGGTTAGCACAGACAGGTCTGTGGTTAGCACAGACTTGTCTGTGGTTAGCACGGACAGGTCTGAGGTTAGCACGGACAGGTCTGCGGTTAGCACAGACAGGTCTGTGGTTAGCACAGACAGGTCTGTGGTTAGCACAGACAGGTCTGAGGTTAGCACAGACAGGTCTGAGGTTAGCACAGACAGGTCTGAGGTTAGCACAGACAGGTCTGAGGTTAGCACAGACAGGTCTGAGGTTAGCACAGACAGGTCTGAGGTTAGCACAGACAGGTCTGTGGTTAGCACAGACAGGTCTGAGGTTAGCACAGACAGGTCTGAGGTTAGCACAGACAGGTCAGTGGTTAGCACAGACAGGTCAGTGGTTAGCACAGACAGGTCTGAGGTTAGCACAGACAGGTCTGAGGTTAGCACAGACAGGTCTGTGGTTAGCACAGACAGGTCTGAGGTTAGCACAGACAGGTCTGAGGTTAGCACAGACAGGTCTGTGGTTAGCACAGACAGGTCTGAGGTTAGCACAGACAGGTCTGAGGTTAGCACAGACAGGTCTGTGGTTAGCACAGACAGGTCTGTGGTTAGCACAGACAGGTCTGAGGTTAGCACAGACAGGTCTGTGGTTAGCACAGACAGGTCTGAGGTTAGCACAGACAGGTCAGTGGTTAGCACAGACAGGTCTGTGGTTAGCACAGACAGGTCTGTGGTTAGCACAGACAGGTCTGTGGTTAGCACAGACAGGTCTGAGGTTAGCACAGACAGGTCTGAGGTTAGCACAGACAGGTCTGAGGTTAGCACAGACAGGTCTGAGGTTAGCACAGACAGGTCTGTGGTTAGCACGGACAGGTCTGTGGTTAGCACAGACAGGTCTGAGGTTAGCACGGACAGGTCTGAGGTTAGCACGGACAGGTCTGTGGTTAGCACGGACAGGTCTGTGGTTAGCACAGACAGGTCTGAGGTTAGCACGGACAGGTCTGAGGTTAGCACGGACAGGTCTGTGGTTAGCACGGACAGGTCTGAGGTTAGCACAGACAGGTCTGAGGTTAGCACAGACAGGTCTGTGGTTAGCACGGACAGGTCTGAGGTTAGCACAGACAGGTCTGTGGTTAGCACAGACAGGTCTGAGGTTAGCACAGACAGGTCTGAGGTTAGCACAGACAGGTCTGAGGTTAGCACAGACAGGTCTGAGGTTAGCACAGACAGGTCTGTGGTTAGCACAGACATGTCTGAGGTTAGCACAGACAGGTCTGTGGTTAGCACAGACAGGTCTGAGGTTAGCACAGACAGGTCTGTGGTTAGCACAGACAGGTCTGAGGTTAGCACGGACAGGTCTGTGGTTAGCACAGACAGGTCTGTGGTTAGCACGGACATGTCTGAGGTTAGCACGGACAGGTCTGTGGTTAGCACAGACAGGTCTGAGGTTAGCACAGACAGGTCTGTGGTTAGCACAGACAGGTCTGAGGTTTAGCACAGACAGGTCTGAGGTTAGCACGGACAGGTCTGAGGTTAGCACAGACAGGTCTGAGGTTAGCACAGACAGGTCTGAGGTTAGCACGGACAGGTCTGAGGTTAGCACAGACAGGTCTGAGGTTAGCACAGACAGGTCTGTGGTTAGCACAGACAGGTCTGAGGTTAGCACAGACAGGTCTGAGGTTAGCACAGACAGGTCTGTGGTTAGCACAGACTTGTCTGTGGTTAGCACAGACAGGTCTGTGGTTAGCACGGACAGGTCTGTGGTTAGCACGGACAGGTCTGTGGTTAGCACAGACAGGTCTGTGGTTAGCACGGACAGGTCTGTGGTTAGCACGGACAGGTCTGAGGTTAGCACAGACAGGTCTGTGGTTAGCACAGACAGGTCTGTGGTTAGCACAGACAGGTCTGTGGTTAGCACGGACAGGTCTGTGGTTAGCACAGACTTGTCTGTGGTTAGCACAGACAGGTCTGTGGTTAGCACAGACAGGTCTGTGGTTAGCACAGACAGGTCTGTGGTTAGCACGGACAGGTCTGTGGTTAGCACAGACTTGTCTGTGGTTAGCACGGACAGGTCTGAGGTTAGCACGGACAGGTCTGTGGTTAGCACAGACAGGTCTGTGGTTAGCACGGACAGGTCTGTGGTTAGCACAGACAGGTCTGAGGTTAGCACAGACAGGTCTGAGGTTATCACAGACAGGTCTGAGGTTAGCACAGACAGGTCTGTGGTTAGCACAGACAGGTCTGAGGTTAGCACAGACAGGTCTGAGGTTAGCACAGACAGGTCTGAGGTTAGCACAGACAGGTCTGTGGTTAGCACGGACAGGTCTGTGGTTAGCACGGACAGGTCTGTGGTTAGCACAGACTTGTCTGTGGTTAGCACGGACAGGTCTGTGGTTAGCACAGACAGGTCTGTGGTTAGCACGGACAGGTCTGTGGTTAGCACAGACAGGTCTGAGGTTAGCACAGACAGGTCTGTGGTTAGCACAGACAGGTCTGTGGTTAGCACGGACAGGTCTGAGGTTAGCACAGACAGGTCTGAGGTTAGCACAGACAGGTCTGTGGTTAGCACAGACAGGTCTGTGGTTAGCACGGACAGGTCTGAGGTTAGCACAGACAGGTCTGTGGTTAGCACAGACAGGTCTGTGGTTAGCACAGACAGGTCTGTGGTTAGCACGGGCAGGTCTGAGGTTAGCACAGACAGGTCTGTGGTTAGCACAGACAGGTCTGTGGTTAGCACAGACAGGTCTGTGGTTAGCACGGACAGGTCTGAGGTTAGCACAGACAGGTCTGTGGTTAGCACAGACAGGTCTGAGGTTAGCACAGACAGGTCTGTGGTTAGCACGGACAGGTCTGTGGTTAGCACAGACAGGTCTGAGGTTAGCACAGACAGGTCTGTGGTTAGCACAGACAGGTCTGTGGTTAGCACAGACAGGTCTGAGGTTAGCACAGACAGGTCTGAGGTTAGCACAGACAGGTCTGAGGTTAGCACAGACAGGTCTGTGGTTAGCACAGACTTGTCTGAGGTTAGCACGGACAGGTCTGAGGTTAGCACGGACAGGTCTGTGGTTAGCACGGACAGGTCTGTGGTTAGCACAGACAGGTCTGAGGTTAGCACAGACAGGTCTGAGGTTAGCACAGACAGGTCTGTGGTTAGCACAGACAGGTCTGAGGTTAGCACAGACAGGTCTGTGGTTAGCACGGACAGGTCTGTGGTTAGCACAGACAGGTCTGTGGTTAGCACAGACAGGTCTGTGGTTAGCACAGACAGGTCTGAGGTTAGCACAGACAGGTCTGAGGTTAGCACAGACAGGTCTGTGGTTAGCACAGACAGGTCTGTGGTTAGCACAGACAGGTCTGAGGTTAGCACAGACAGGTCTGAGGTTAGCACAGACAGGTCTGTGGTTAGCACGGACAGGTCTGTGGTTAGCACAGACAGGTCTGAGGTTAGCACAGACAGGTCTGAGGTTAGCACAGACAGGTCTGAGGTTAGCACGGACAGGTCTGAGGTTAGCACGGACAGGTCTGTGGTTAGCACAGACAGGTCTGTGGTTAGCACGGACAGGTCTGTGGTTAGCACAGACAGGTCTGAGGTTAGCACAGACAGCTGAGGTTATCACAGACAGGTCTGAGGTTAGCACAGACAGGTCTGTGGTTAGCACAGACAGGTCTGAGGTTAGCACGGACAGGTCTGTGGTTAGCACGGACAGGTCTGTGGTTAGCACAGACAGGTCTGTGGTTAGCACAGACAGCTGAGGTTATCACAGACAGGTCTGAGGTTAGCACAGACAGGTCTGTGGTTAGCACAGACAGGTCTGTGGTTAGCACAGACAGGTCTGTGGTTAGCACAGACAGGTCTGTGGTTAGCACAGACAGGTCTGTGGTTAGCACGGACAGGTCTGTGGTTAGCACGGACAGGTCTGTGGTTAGCACGGACAGGTCTGTGGTTAGCACAGACAGGTCTGTGGTTAGCACAGACAGGTCTGTGGTTAGCACAGACAGGTCTGAGGTTAGCACGGACAGGTCTGTGGTTAGCACGGACAGGTCTGTGGTTAGCACAGACAGGTCTGAGGTTAGCACAGACAGGTCTGTGGTTAGCACAGACAGGTCTGTGGTTAGCACAGACAGGTCTGTGGTTAGCACAGACAGGTCTGAGGTTAGCACAGACAGGTCTGTGGTTAGCACAGACAGGTCTGTGGTTAGCACAGACAGGTCTGAGGTTAGCACAGACAGGTCTGTGGTTAGCACAGACAGATCTGTGGTTAGCACAGACAGGTCTGTGGTTAGCACAGACAGGTCTGAGGTTAGCACAGACAGGTCTGTGGTTAGCACAGACAGGTCTGTGGTTAGCACAGACAGGTCTGTGGTTAGCACAGACAGGTCTGTGGTTAGCACAGACAGCTGAGGTTATCACAGACAGGTCTGTGGTTAGCACAGACAGGTCTGTGGTTAGCACAGACAGGTCTGTGGTTAGCACAGACAGGTCTGAGGTTAGCACAGACAGGTCTGTGGTTAGCACAGACAGGTCTGTGGTTAGCACAGACAGGTCTGTGGTTAGCACAGACAGGTCTGTGGTTAGCACAGACAGGTCTGTGGTTAGCACAGACAGGTCTGAGGTTAGCACAGACAGCTGAGGTAAACAAGCGGCGGAGGCGAACCTGAAACTTCTGTGTCTTTGTGACCGGTTACTGCTTACTCAAAGAAACAGACAAAAGAAAGTCTCGTTCCTCCGCACTTCCTGGTTCTATCATTCTATGGTCACGCCACGTTCAAATGTTCCATATTGTGAGACGTGAGCTCCGTAAACACATGAGCACAGGCTGAGTGGGAGGGGGTAGTGGGAGGAGATTGCGGCGAGGGCGAGCAGAAGAGCGAGGCCGGCGCTCACACGTTAGTGCAGCTTTAATAACTTTTTAATTACATTTTGGACTGGATCAGAGAATCAAAACCTACCCATCACACCCCTCCCTACACTATAGTATCTGGTACTGTGTCCTAACAACCTGCACTATAGTATCTGGTACTGTGTCCTAACAACCTACACTATAGTATCTGGTACCGTGTCCTAACAACCTACACTATAGTATCTGGTACCGTGTCCTAACAACCTACACTATAGTATCTGGTACCGTGTCCTAACAACCTACACTATAGTATCTGGTACCGTGTCCTAACAACCTACACTATAGTATCTGGTACCGTGTCCTAACAACCTACACTATAGTATCTGGTACTGTGTCCTAACAACCTACACTATAGTATCTGGTACCGTGTCCTAACAACCTACACTATAGTATCTGGTACTGTGTCCTAACAACCTACACTATAGTATCTGGTACCGTGTCCTAACAACCTACACTATAGTATCTGGTACTGTGTCCTAACAACCTACACTATAGTATCTGGTACTGTGTCCTAACAACCTACACTATAGTATCTGGTACCGTGTCCTAACAACCTACACTATAGTATCTGGTACTGTGTCCTAACAACCTACACTATAGTATCTGGTACCGTGTCCTAACAACCTACACTATAGTATCTGGTACTGTGTCCTAACAACCTACACTATAGTATCTGGTACTGTGTCCTAACAACCTACACTATAGTATCTGGTACTGTGTCCTAACAACCTACACTATAGTATCTGGTACTGTGTCCTAACAACCTACACTATAGTATCTGGTACCGTGTCCTAACAACCTACACTATAGTATCTGGTACCGTGTCCTAACAACCTACACTATAGTATCTGGTACTGTGTCCTAACAACCTCCACTATAGTATCTGGTACTGTGTCCTAACAACCTACACTATAGTATCTGGTACCGTGTCCTAACAACCTACACTATAGTATCTGGTACCGTGTCCTAACAACCTACACTATAGTATCTGGTACCGTGTCCTAACAACCTACACTATAGTATCTGGTACTGTGTCCTAACAACCTACACTATAGTATCTGGTACTGTGTCCTAACAACCTACACTATAGTATCTGGTACCGTGTCCTAACAACCTGCACTATAGTATCTGGTACCATGTCCTAACAACCTACACTATAGTATCTGGTACCGTGTCCTAACAACCTACACTATAGTATCTGGTACCGTGTCCTAACAACCTACACTATAGTATCTGGTACCGTGTCCTAACAACCTACACTATAGTATCTGGTACCGTGTCCTAACAACCTACACTATAGTATCTGGTACTGTGTCCTAACAACCTGCACTATAGTATCTGGTACCATGTCCTAACAACCTACACTATAGTATCTGGTACTGAGTCCTAACAACCTACACTATAGTATCTGGTACTGTGTCCTAACAACCTACACTATAGTATCTGGTACCGTGTCCTAACAACCTACACTATAGTATCTGGTACCGTGTCCTAACAACCTACACTATAGTATCTGGTACCGTGTCCTAACAACCTACACTATAGTATCTGGTACCGTGTCCTAACAACCTACACTATAGTATCTGGTACCGTGTCCTAACAACCTACACTATAGTATCTGGTACCGTGTCCTAACAACCTGCACTATAGTATCTGGTACCGTGTCCTAACAACCTACACTATAGTATCTGGTACCGTGTCCTAACAACCTACACTATAGTATCTGGTACCATGTCCTAACAACCTGCACTATAGTATCTGGTACCGTGTCCTAACAACCTACACTATAGTATCTGGTACCGTGTCCTAACAACCTACACTATAGTATCTGGTACTGTGTCCTAACAACCTACACTATAGTATCTGGTACCGTGTCCTAACAACCTACACTATAGTATCTGGTACTGTGTTCTAACAACCTACACTATAGTATCTGGTACCGTGTCCTAACAACCTACACTATAGTATCTGGTACCGTGTCCTAACAACCTACACTATAGTATCTGGTACTGTGTCCTAACAACCTACACTATAGTATCTGGTACTGTGTCCTAACAACCTACACTATAGTATCTGGTACCGTGTCCTAACAACCTACACTATAGTATCTGGTACCGTGTCCTAACAACCTACACTATAGTATCTGGTACCGTGTCCTAACAACCTACACTATAGTATCTGGTACCGTGTCCTAACAACCTACACTATAGTATCTGGTACCATGTCCTAACAACCTACACTATAGTATCTGGTACTGTGTCCTAACAACCTACACTATAGTATCTGGTACTGTGTCCTAACAACCTACACTATAGTATCTGGTACCGTGTCCTAACAACCTACACTATAGTATCTGGTACCGTGTCCTAACAACCTACACTATAGTATCTGGTACTGTGTCCTAACAACCTACACTATAGTATCTGGTACCGTGTCCTAACAACCTACACTATAGTATCTGGTACTGTGTCCTAACAACCTACACTATAGTATCTGGTACCGTGTCCTAACAACCTACACTATAGTATCTGGTACCGTGTCCTAACAACCTACACTATAGTATCTGGTACTGTGTCCTAACAACCTACACTATAGTATCTGGTACCGTGTCCTAACAACCTGCACTATAGTATCTGGTACCATGTCCTAACAACCTACACTATAGTATCTGGTACTGTGTCCTAACAACCTACACTATAGTATCTGGTACCGTGTCCTAACAACCTACACTATAGTATCTGGTACCGTGTCCTAACAACCTACACTATAGTATCTGGTACCGTGTCCTAACAACCTGCACTATAGTATCTGGTACCATGTCCTAACAACCTACACTATAGTATCTGGTACTGTGTCCTAACAACCTACACTATAGTATCTGGTACCGTGTCCTAACAACCTACACTATAGTATCTGGTACCGTGTCCTAACAACCTACACTATAGTATCTGGTACTGTGTCCTAACAACCTGCACTATAGTATCTGGTACCGTGTCCTAACAACCTACACTATAGTATCTGGTACTGTGTCCTAACAACCTACACTATAGTATCTGGTACCATGTCCTAACAACCTGCACTATAGTATCTGGTACTGAGTCCTAACAACCTACACTATAGTATCTGGTACTGTGTCCTAACAACCTACACTATAGTATCTGGTACCGTGTCCTAACAACCTACACTATAGTATCTGGTACCGTGTCCTAACAACCTACACTATAGTATCTGGTACCGTGTCCTAACAACCTACACTATAGTATCTGGTACCGTGTCCTAACAACCTACACTATAGTATCTGGTACCGTGTCCTAACAACCTACACTATAGTATCTGGTACCATGTCCTAACAACCTACACTATAGTATCTGGTACCGTGTCCTAACAACCTACACTATAGTATCTGGTACCGTGTCATAACAACCTACACTATAGTATCTGGTACCGTGTCCTAACAACCTACACTATAGTATCTGGTACCGTGTCCTAACAACCTACACTATAGTATCTGGTACCGTGTCCTAACAACCTACACTATAGTATCTGGTACCGTGTCCTAACAACCTACACTATAGTATCTGGTACCGTGTCCTAACAACCTACACTATAGTATCTGGTACGTGTCCTAACAACCTACACTATAGTATCTGGTACCGTGTCCTAACAACCTACACTATAGTATCTGGTACCTGTCCTAACAACCTACACTATAGTATCTGGTACCGTGTCCTAACAACCTACACTATAGTATCTGGTACCGTGTCCTAACAACCTACACTATAGTATCTGGTACCGTGTCCTAACAACCTACACTATAGTATCTGGTACCGTGTCCTAACAACCTACACTATAGTATCTGGTACCGTGTCCTAACAACCTACACTATAGTATCTGGTACTGTGTCCTAACAACCACACTATAGTATCTGGTACCGTGTCCTAACAACCTACACTATAGTATCTGGTACCGTGTCCTAACAACCTACACTATAGTATCTGGTACCGTGTCCTAACAACCTACACTATAGTATCTGGTACCGTGTCCTAACAACCTACACTATAGTATCTGGTACCGTGTCCTAACAACCTGCACTATAGTATCTGGTACTGTGTCCTAACAACCTACACTATAGTATCTGGTACCATGTCCTAACAACCTGCACTATAGTATCTGGTACTGTGTCCTAACAACCTGCACTATAGTATCTGGTACTGTGTCCTAACAACCTCCACTATAGTATCTGGTACTGAGTCCTAACAACCTACACTATAGTATCTGGTACTGTGTCCTAACAATCCTGTATCTGTGGAAATTCCTTGGTAACCATGTCTTCCAGCAGCACTCTGACCAATCACTGTCAGTTAGAACACTTCAGTACGGCCTGGATAGAACCAGGGGTCAAAGGAAGGACTTGGTACTGGTTACACAGGACCAGTAGGGTAGGGTAGGGTAGGGCTGGACACGGGTCTAAACCTCTCACCTCACTTTCAGGCCGGGCTCCTGCCTCCAACAGACTGAAGAGCTCCGCACACTCCGCAGAGATCTTCATGTATCCTTCCACCACATCATACAGACCTGGGCTCGGCAGCTGCTTGGCTGTTGTTATGAACTTCTCTAACCCTGCACAGACATTCACAGACATTCACAGACATTCACAGACATTCACAGACATTCACAGACATGTAACAGACATTCACAGACATTCACAGACATTCACAGACATTCACACAGTAAGCACTAAGTCCAACTGTTACAGACATGTAACAGACATGTAACAGACATGTAACAGACATGTAACAGACATGTAACAGACATGTAACAGACATGTAACAGACATGTAACAGACATGTAACAGACATGTTACAGACATGTAACAGACATGTAACAGACATGTAACAGACATGTTACAGACATGTTACAGACATGTAACAGACATGTAACAGACATGTAACAGACATGTAACAGACATGTAACAGACATGTAACAGACATGTTACAGACATGTAACAGACATGTAACAGACATGTAACAGACATGTAACAGACATGTTACAGACATGTAACAGACATGTAACAGACATGTAACAGACATGTTACAGACATGTAACAGACATGTAACAGACATGTAACAGACATGTAACAGACATGTAACAGACATGTAACAGACATGTAACAGACATGTTACAGACATGTAACAGACATGTAACAGACATGTTACAGACATGTTACAGACATGTTACAGACATGTAACAGACATGTAACAGACATGTAACAGACATGTAACAGACATGTAACAGACATGTTACAGACATGTAACAGACATGTAACAGACATGTAACAGACATGTTACAGACATGTATCTGCATTGATCACAGACATGTAACAGACATGTTACAGACATGTTACAGACATGTTACAGACATGTTACAGACATGTAACAGACATGTAACAGACATGTAACAGACATGTTACAGACATGTAACAGACATGTAACAGACATGTAACAGACATGTTACAGACATGTATCTGCATTGATCACAGACCCTTCATGGCCCGCGCTGGATCCTTCAACATGCTTTTAAAAACAGTTCCATTAAACTCCAAAGTCTTGTCCTTTTTGGCGGGAACGTGTCCCTCCGCGGCCTCGCGCTGACGCTTTCTATTCATCTTTTTATCTGTTAAATCTATGCAAAAGTAATAATATTACTTCAATTACAGCTTCACAAACGTGACTTCTCCAACATGTTCCCACGTTGCTGTGTGCGGCATGTAAACACTGCGGTGCCACCGAGCTGCCATCCGGACAGAAACACGAAGCGGGTTTAAGGTTCCGGGTGAAAGTGGTCGAGACTTTTTTCCAAAATCCAAATCAACAATATCCCCTTAGCCCTGACAATGACTGTGGTGAGATTCAGTGTGACATTTTATGGTTTTAATAATGAAAATAAATCTGCAGTTTCCTTGTATCAGAAAAAGACAATTTTGAAGGAAGAAGAAGGAGCGAAAGGTTTTACCCTGAGAAGGAAAGAAGAGTATTCTCTGGATTCGGATTCAGTAAATGATTATATTTATTTATATTTATCTTATTTGTATTTGTTTTGAAATGTTGCTGTAAAATCTCTCCTTTCATGTCATTGTAATATGTGATGTATTGTCAGGTTCACAATTTGAGTAAATAAATAAAAGCCGCAAGTGGCAATGAAAGCCCTCGCCACCCTCGCAGCTGCGTCCCGGGCGTCAGTCCCACAAGCTTCATGCGGCGTACTTGCGGATGAATTCTCAGCCCGATAGAACCAGGATTAAGCACGGAAAAGCCCGTTAATAGGAGTAATAAGGTTTGTCTTTTCACACCATTAGCTCAGGCCATTACCAACTGTTAGTGACGTGAGTCTCAGCTCCATAGGTCTGGGCCTGGGACTAAAACTATGCCTTGTGCCTCACTTTGATGATGCTCACACAAACTCCTTATTCAATATTTAATTCATTAAAACAAAACAGAACAATCAGATTCAAGTAAAACCTGTGAGTGCAGTGCTAATACTGTCCAGCAGGGGGCGGCAGAGGTGCACGAGTGAACCCAGCCACAGACTCAGGAACTACATCAAACTAGTTGAAAAACAATAAATCTAACCAGTCTGTGCCCTCAGCCCCTCCCACCTACTCTCACACACACACACACACACACAGACACACACACACACACACACACACAGACACACACACACACAGACACACACACACACACACACACACACACACAGACACACACACACACACACACACACACACACACCAGACTCATTTTAATGTGGGGGAAGTGTCTTGCCTAACGACACAACAACACTGTGGCACTTGCTGTTCCCAGAGGTCTCCCGATGCAGGAGGGTCTGTTGGACAGTTAGTGTCCAACTGTGTCCACCTGTGGTGATCCAGGACACTTGAAGTATTAGTAAGTAATGTTTATTTATATAGCGCCTTTCACAGACAGAGTCACAGCGGTTTACAATTGTTAATTTTGGGCATTAGTCTCTCACTCCACACAGAGATGGGAGGGGCCAGTACAGGAGGCACCTAATGTACATGTTTTTAGTGGTAGGGGAAACCGGAGTACCCGGAGGAAACCTACACAGACAAACATGCAAACTCCACTCAGAAAGGACCTGTTCCGACTGGGATTCGAACCCAGGACCTTCTTGCTGAGAGGCGAGAGCGCTAACCACTCAGCCACCGTGCCGTCCATTAACATTTCACAACATGTGTGACATTTATCAACATGTATGACCCAGCAGGAGGCCAGTACCTGTGCTCCTCAGAGTCCCAGCAGGAGTCCAGTCCCTGTGCTCCTCAGAGTCCCAGCAGGAGGCCAGTCCCTGTGCTCCTCAGAGTCCCAGCAGGAGTCCAGTCCCTGTGCTCCTCAGAGTCCCAGCAGGAGGCCAGTCCCTGTGCTCCTCAGAGTCCCAGCAGGAGACCAGTCCCTGTGCTCCTCAGAGTCCCAGCAGGAGGCCAGTCCCTGTGCTCCTCAGAGCACCAGCAGGAGGCCAGTCCCTGTGCTCCTCAGAGTCCCAGCAGGAGGCCAGTCCCTGTGCTCCTCAGAGTCCCGGCAGGAGGCCAGTCCCTGTGCTCCTCAGAGTCCCAGCAGGAGTCCAGTCCCTGTGCTCCTCAGAGTCCCAGCAGGAGGCCAGTCCCTGTGCTCCTCAGAGTCCCAGCAGGAGGCCAGTCCCTGTGCTCCTCAGAGTCCCGGCAGGAGGCCAGTCCCTGTGCTCCTCAGAGTTGGTTCCTATGGTTCTATCATGTCACACGGGGCCTCTCTCGGGGTCACTTCCTCCTCACATCAAAGACACTGAACAACATAAACACACGGATCCGGAACAGCGCCCGCAAGCAGCTATGAGTGCCCACGGCCGGAGACCATCAGTGTAAACATTTACTGACTTTGACAAATAAGACTTTTACAGGAACAGGCTCCGAACTGAAAACCACACGTTTCTCTGGTCTCTCTCTGGTCTCTCTCTGGTCTCTCTCTGGTCTCTCTCTGGTCTCTCTCTGGTCTCTCTCTGGTCTCTCTCTCTGGTCTGTCTCTGGTCTCTCTCTCTGGTCTCTCTCTGGTCTCTCTCTGGTCTCTCTCTCTGGTCTCTCTCTGGTCTCTCTCTCTGGTCTCTCTCTCTGGTCTCTCTCTGGTCTCTCTCTCTGGTCTCTCTGGTCTCTCTCTCTGGTCTCTCTCTGGTCTCTCTCTGGTCTCTCTCTCTGGTCTCTCTGGTCTCTCTCTGGTCTCTCTCTCTGGCCTCTGGTCTCTCCGGTCTCTCTCTCTCTGGCCTCTGGTCTCTCTCTGGTCTCTCTCTCTGGCCTCTGGTCTCTCTGGTCTCCCTGGTCTCTCTCTCTGGTCTCTCTCTGGTCTCTCTCTCTGGTCTCTCTCTCTGGTCTCTCTCTCTGGTCTCTCTCTGGTCTCTCTCTCTGGTCTCTCTCTGGTCTCTCTCTCTGGTCTCTCTCTGGTCTCTCTCTGGTCTCTCTCTGGTCTCTCTCTGGTCTCTCTCTGGTCTCTCTCTCTGGTCTCTCTCTGGTCTCCCTCTGGTCTCTCTCTCTCTGGTCTCTCTCTCTGGTCTCTCTCTCTGGTCTCTCTCTGGTCTCTCTCTGGTCTCTCTGGTCTCTCTCTGGTCTTTCTCTCTGGTCTCTCTCTGGTCTCTCTCTGGTCTCTCTCTGGTCTCTCTCTGGTCTCTCTCTCTGGTCTCTCTCTGGTCTCTCTCTCTCTGGTCTCTCTCTCTGGTCTCTCTCTGGTCTCTATCTCTGGTCTCTCTCTCTGGTCTCTCTCTGGTCTCTCTCTCTGGTCTCTCTCTGGTCTCTCTCTCTGGTCTCTCTCTGGTCTCTCTCTGGTCTCTCTCTGGTCTCTCTCTGGTCTCTCTCTGGTCTCTCTCTCTGGTCTCTCTCTGGTCTCCCTCTGGTCTCTCTCTCTCT